CGGATATCTGAAAATACACAAAGAATCAAAACCTGATAGGAGCCACGAACACGAATGCAGTTGCGCGCCCGATAGCAGCAGCATTTTCAGTTCCAGGTTTCGCGACCAGGACCCCCTCCATCCTCGTGACTATTGACACTTTTGGAATACGAGGTCCAAAAAATGATAATAATTCTGTATTTCCCGACAAAGTTCGGCTCCCAGCCAAATCCGACACTCGCGGACGCTTGCGAACGCTTGCGACGAGCAGGTCGCGAAAGTGTTGTAATTTATATCGAATTCCGCGATGACGAAACGACGCTCCTCACTAAACGCGACCGGCACTGTGGCGGGAACGCCATTTTCGTGCAAATTGAGCGCGGCACCACAGTGGGAGCGTCCCTCCCAGCCAAATCCGATACTCGCGGACGCTTGCGAACGCTGCGCACGCATTCCGTATCAATTCCTAACTTCTAGATCCCCAACCTTCAAACGAGTACCCTTCTGCTATACATTCGGGAAAAATGATATCTTTTGAATAATTTCATATATTGATATATCGTATCAGGAATTGATCAGCATATGTGTAAGGATCCTGAGAAAATTATTAAAAATAAGATGATCTATATCTAATATCCGAAAAAGGCATTCTATATCCAACTATCAGATTCATTAAGATAAGATATAAAATGATATTGCGACCTACTCAATCTTATTATATAACTCTATTGTGAGGAATTATTAGAAAATCTCTCCTAGAAATAGTTTGATATATCGTATGATCTGATCCCAATATTCGTCGATCATGCGGGCAAATCCTACGATAGATAGAAGTCAAAATTAAAAGAAAATATCTATCTCGTATATTTGTTTGCTTTTCTATCAGTAGAAGAAAAATTTGTTCTTATATGATTAAATAAATAAATAAATATATATATATATATCATAATTATATCGAATATTTTCCAGCAGCATATAATAGAAATATAGTGATTTTGATTTCATATTCTATAATTGAATTCATATAGAAATTATAAATATTTTCGAAGTCAATTCAATGATATATTTTTGAGCTAAGATATTACTTAAATATTTTCCCAATATCTATATTATAGAATCTCTTGATTTTCTGAATATTCAAGTAAAATTAGATAATATCGAATTATTGAATATGATTTTCTATTATGCGTTCCAAATTATCGTATATCCTTAGATATATTCAAGAAGATGATCAATATTCAGATCTTCTGAATTAAATTTTAAGTTCTAATTTCTCAAAGTATTTTCTGAATCAATATTGAATAAAAATAAATAACTGAATATATCGTTTTGCTTCATTCCATGACAAATTCGAGATCGAAGCCTATATTATAAATAATTAGATTGGAAATGCTACGATAACGATAATAAAGAAGATATTATAATGATCTATCTTATTTAGATATGCTATAGAAAGATGATTGAAGTCCAATCTGATGTCAGATGATTCATGACTTATGCTTGATAATCGACCCATTATGATTCTCCATTATCAGATTATCTCAATAATTGAAAGCCATGGTCGATTCCAAATATAGAATAAATTTTTCATCTATATTTGATTATGATCTTTTTAGTTAAATGGAATATAATTCAAAAATATCTCAATCTGATAGATATTTCTTCTATTAAATGAAATCACGAATCCTTGTCATGTTGTCTGCGTATGTTGACTGGCGCCCATGTCTGGGAAATTGCCGGGATGTTTCATAACTTGTTACTCCATTTCCTTTCGTACGAGAATTCGCGGAATTTCTATGATATAACTTGGGATTTTCAGATTTTCTACTGCTATGAAGTTCCCTGACATATTATTGAAATGATCTGTAATTTTTATAGAATTCTTCGGGAATTTCATGACTATATGGTCCCTACCATGAAAATATTGAAGTTACGCTCCTTAGCAGTGTATACTCATTACTTTGTTTGTTGGACTTATGTAATAATATATAATTATCGCTTTGTCCACTGGACGATGCAAATCCATGGGACCTTCATTATTTTTTTTACTATCGCCTAGTGGGGCGAGGGCACGTGTGTCGCGGGGAGTGTTGTGCGAGTTTAAGGGGAGTGCCACGGAGTGGCTGAAGTGCGAGTCGTTATGAGTGTCGTGGAGCGATGAGCGATGGCTTGTGTGTCGTGTGTCGTGGGCGTGGAAGGGGGGCGAGAGCGGATCGGAGCGAGTGTCGGGGAGTGGGACGAGGGCATGCGTGTCGTGGGGAGTGTCGTGCGAGTTTGAAAGGAGGGTTGGGAGTGGCTGCGGGGGCGAGTTGTGGTGAGTGTAGCGGAGTGATGGGCGAGGGTTTGCGTGTCGTATAGGATATGTCGTGCGCGTAGAATGGCGAGCGAGAATGGGTCGGAGGGAGAGTCGCGGAGTGGGGCGACGGCAAGTATGTCGCGGGGAGTATCGTGCGAGTTTTGAGGAGAGTGTCGGAGTGATGGGCGAGGGCTTGCGTATCGTGGGGAGCGTCGTGGAGTGGCATACGAATGTCGAGGAGAGTGTCGTGAAGTGGCGGGCGAGGGCGTGTGTATCAGGGGGCTAGGGCGTATGATCGTGGGGAATGTCGTGGAATACCGTGGAGTGGCGGGTGAGAGGGCAAGGAGTGTCGCGGAGTGGTGGATAGGTATGTTGTGGGGAGATGTGGGGAGTGCCGTAGGGTGTGGGGATTCTTGTGGAATGGGGAGTGTCGTGGAGTGGTGGATAGGTGCGGGTTTAAGGGAAATATCGTGGAATAACGGAATAGTGATTATATATATTTTTTATCTCTCTCTCTCTTTCTTTCTCTCTCTCTCTCTCTCTTATATGTCATTTAGCGGCGGGGGAGGGCATATAAATCATAATGTGGCGGACGAAAGTGAGGACGGATCGAAAGAAATATCTTATACTATTTATAGATATAAATCGGGGCACCGTGGGATATCTTATAGAATAAATTATGAGGACGGGATCAAGATAATATTGATATAAGAATTCAGAAATATTTTTGCATATTCTTTTATTTATTATTTTTAAATTTCTTATGAGTATATTGGAATGAATCGTAAGAAGACCATTCTATTCAAATTTTTATGATATTCTCAAACTTCATATCTTGAAATTTCTTCTCTATCAGAAAGATGATTCCATATTATTTATGCAAATCCAATTATCTATAGAGAATATTTATCTGAATATTTTATTTATCTAGGGAATTTTAATATTATTATATATATATCAAAATTATGATCTAGCCAAAAGAATGAAATTCAATTCTCATATATAATATTCATGATATATTCATTTATCTAATTTCAATATCTCCAATATTTAAATATTCGGATATATTAATAAAATTTCCTTATGAAATACTAATTTTCTATATTATATAATCAGAATAAATTATAGAATCATTATCGAGCCGAAATAAATACGAATATTTTATATTCAAGATTAAATAGAGGAAATAATAGGCTCCCCGATATGAATCAATGAATAGAAAAAAAAAGCTTGAAATCTAATATAATAGAATATTGGAAAAAAAACCAAATTTTTGCCGGACTATATTATGCCCCGCAGCTACTGAAGCATGCGTTTTTGTTATCTAAACAAGCCCAGGCCACAAGGAAGCCTGAGTTCGAGAAAATTGCTGAGCCACCAAAGCCGAAATAGTTTGCACACTCGGATTGGTGGAGAGATGCAGCCAGTGGTCCTACATGCTAGTTTTAGCCACGATAGAACATGTTTAGGCATGGCTTTTTTGCACGTGTTTTAGACATTTAAACACATTTAGACATGTTTAAACACGATAAGGCTCGCTAAAAAGGTTACACACGAACTATGATGTTTAGATTTTTAGACACCCCCCTTTCACTGCAGCTACAGCATTTATTTTTCTGGTCGTTTCTTTACACCAACCAAGTTCAGTTTCTGGTCGTTTCTGTACACCAACCAAGTTTAGAGAGCCCGCCTTGTAAAACGATGACGCGTCTACAAAATCTAAAATTGACCTCCAGATTGCAGGTCTAAAATTGACCTCCAGGGGCTAGCGCTTCATCTTGGACCAAGCGCCCCTGGTAAGATCCCCTAGCTTGTAACTTTCTCCCCCCCTTGCCTCACGGCCTGCTCGCACCAGGCCACGGGTGAAGTCACCAAATCGATAGCCGCCTTCACTGCTTTGGCATTCCTCGTGGCTTTCTGTCCTGGTGGCCTCGCGGGCCTCGCGCACCTCTCTTCCTTCGACAAGGGTCTGAGAGATCGACTGTTGAAAAGCAGAGGCACGGCGACCGGCGCTCTCAGAGACTCTGCGCCCGGCAGCTGCCCCACCCATCATTCCAGCGGTAACGCCTGCCGGGCCGAGGGGTGCAAGTAGCACCCCGCCTACAGAAGCCCCGACTGTGGACGAGGCTGCTCTTGTTTCGTAAGCATGTTCTGCAGCTGTTGAAACCGTGCCCCGCACTCCACGCTCCCAGGACAGCGAGACCAAGCCGCGTGTAAGATCACCAAACTGGTACTTCTCACTGCCCCGCAGCTTGCGGCCCTTCTCCAGAGACGAGCTGGTTGCAGAAGCGACTGCCTTTGCCAAAGTGCCGGCCAGTGCTCCTTGAGGAACCGCCGCGCCACCAAAACGCAGGAATGCTAGCGAAGTGCCAGCGCAGGAGATTGTCCCGTCGAAGAGGCTCAGCCCTGCAATGGACGCGTTGCTGAACAGCTTCGGCAAAGCAGCCGCGGCTTGGGTCAGGTAATGATTGGCCAGCTTCTGCGTGAGCCCAGTCCAAGATGCTTCTGTGCTCTGCTGAAAATCTTTGAAGTGAATGTCTGCTTTTTCCAGTCTCGCCCGAACTCCGCGTTGCACCGAAAAGTCTGCGGCATTTAACACGAAAGGATGCACGTGAACCGTGAAGCGACAGATCTGAGCAGGTCTTTCAAAAAGCACAACCACAGGCAGTGGACGGTTCTGCAGGTCTTGAAGGAGAGCAGTCACCGGTGGCTCCATCCCACGAACAATGCTCCCTGCAATCCACCTCACTGGACCCTCCGACGTTGCAACGGTCTCTGTGGCCTCGATCGACAGTCCAAAGGGCCTTTCTTCCAGGAAGACAGGCTCGATAAAGAATGCAGCTTGGGCATGGTCGCATGCATATTCCATTGCCAGTCGACAACTTTGAAGAAAGGCTTCCGTGGTGTTCAAGCTTATCAACTCCAGACGGCAGTCCAGGCTGACTGCCCTGTGTTCACACTGCATGTACTCGCGAAAGATGCACTTCAACGACGGACAGCAAACAGCTCCTTCGTCAGACTCAGGATCACGACAGTACAGCTCACAGTCTATCTGAGCTTCGAAGACCTCGAGAAAACTCGCGCTGACCACCGGTCCGACTACTGTCAGGCTGCCACGCTCCTTCTTGGCAGCTGCTACACGCATGCAAACTTGATCCGCTCGGATCCCGACAGCACTTTGCTGCATGAAGCCTATCACCACACCGTCGCAAAGAAATTCGCAGTCAAGATCTATGTCCTCGTCAGACAAGCTTAGTTTGATGGTTCGAACTTGCAGCTCGATCTCACTGGGCGGCCCCATCTGCGACTGTGGAGAACCTGTACAGTTGTAGATAGTCTTGACAAGCCGCGTGATGCTTACAAGATCTCGGATGTCACAGTGACCGCATATGAGATCTGTTGTGGCCAACAGTTTGTCAGATCTTCGAAGGCGCAACTCGAACTCATCAATCACGTCATCCCCATCTAGCAGCAGATTTGATCGCATGGAGCAGTCACCACCTATATCACACACGAATAAGGCTTCTAGGAGAAGCACACGCGAATGCCAAGGCTCCCCAATTTCAATGGACAGCGGCATGTGCAGGGAAACCCTCCAGTCGATGTCGGAGGTGGAAGGTTCGTAAGGCTCGCTCAAGAGGGCTTGCGCCCAGAGGCCAAAGCGCAACAGCGAAGGCGTGACTCGAAGATCCAGTAAAGGACTCTGCACTGACAGGATCTTCTCGCACGATTCGGCTTTAATAGCAAAATCACTCGAGCCCGCCATCCCACCAATTCGAACTTTTCGCTCTGCCCCTGCAGACTCCAACAGGGCAAAGCGAGTCAGATGCATGTCGATGTTCCAAAAGTCGTGCTCATGAAGATGGAAACTCACGTGGCCGCTGAGATCGACTTCCAGAGAATCCTCAAACGCTATGACGACAGACGGGATGTTCAATGCAAAAGTAAAGTCTGCGTCGCCCACGGGAGATTCTTCCATGGACTTCTGCACTTCCATCGGAAGCTCCCAGGTCTCTTCTTCACGTCCTTCCTGGCTCCAAGACCTCAGCCAAGCAGACCAGGATTGCCGTGGCCGCGGTCTCTCCATGCAGTCGACGACATCGACAAACTCATCGGAATCACAGTCTTTGAAATCTCTCAGGTCCTGAAAGTTGCGGAGCAAAGAGGACAGGCACGCGAGCTGCGCACGCGTCCAGTGAACATGAACTGCCTCAAGGTCAATCTGCAAATCCAGGCCACGCAGGTCTACAAAGCGCTGTCCTGCGAAACGCAGCGCACGCCCACGCGGCGAGGCCCGCAGAAAGACAGGCGCAGGCGGAGGCAAGCATGTGCCGTGGGAGTCTGCGGCGTCCGAGTCTGGAGTCTCGGCTGGTCCGAGACGTAGCTCGAGCTCTTCGAGCTGCACGGCTTGCTCACCGGCTTTGACAGCAGCAACCGACAAGCGCTTAAACGAAGCACCAGCCACTGCTTCGAGCCCTGTGAGGTCTATGTGGCAGCTCGTGATGGTGAGGTCCAGCTGATCCACGAGCCGCCGCTTCAGCCTGCCGAAGAATCCAGGTTCCGACGAAAGTGGAGCGTGACTTGGATTTTCGGATTCTTCCGACTCTGTCAGACATATCTGAATGTTGACGTCAGTGACATTGAGAACCACCGGCTGCCTCAAGAGCTCGGACCAGGACCATCGTGCCGAGATGCAGCCGACATCTCCGGAAACTGAAGCTGGCCCTGCTCGTTGTTTACGCAGCTTCACCGCAGTCAAGGACAGCTGTCCGGAAATGTCAAGCTCGTGCTCCACAACCTCTAGGTAGTGGCCCAAGACCTGACGCAGGAGGGGACCCAACATCTGCCTCGTTGCCATGATGGCTAAAGAGCAGAGCAAGATAACTGGTTCAGATGGCTTGAGGCTCAAGAGCCATCGTCCCCCGACACGTACCTTGCAGAACAAGTTGCTCCGTCCGGGTGCACACCATGCAATTCGTGGTTAACGTCGTTGCAGATGCAGTGAACCCAGAAAGCAGATCCAATCTGAAATCCCCTGGACTTCGAAAGTCTTCCCACCCCCTGAAACAGGGAGCGTGAAAGGTCTCGGTTGTTTTTCTTGCGGCCACCGACATTTGCAGATTCTGCCGCCATGCAGCCGTCTGCTCAACCCTTGCAGCCTTGTGCCGCTGCAGTCATGCAATCGCCGCTCCTGCTGCAATGTGTTGTGCATGTGCGTGTGTCTAATGCACAGATCACCACCAGCAACAATGGCAAACAAGGGCGAAGTGGTCGAAGTGTAAATCAAACAGCACGTCACTGGGGATAACTGCGGGGCGGAAGGGTCTCTTGCCTCAAGCCTCGGGCACGACTGGAGTTCCGGGTGCAAGTTCTTCTGGGAACATGAACGAGACAGGTGGCCTCCCGTGAAGACATCATCACCAGAGTCTGGCTCCACATGCTCCACCTGAATCGGAAGGCTTGACCGCGACAGGTTTTCCGGGGAGCAGGTTGTAGAAAATTCGCAGGACTCGGACGACATGGTGGCATGGCGAGCAAACTCATGGGAGCTTTCTTGCACGAAGTGCTCCTCGTCACCTTCTGCATTGAACTCCCGCACGAAGACCTGGATTGAAGGTTGCATGACACAGCGCAAAGACAAGGACACTCCGCTTACACAAAGTGGTCATCGAGGCCACAGTCTGCGGTTGCATGAACGCATGGGGCCTTCGGCAGCCAGCTGCCACGCACCGAGCCTCCACATGCTTGCATGCTGGTCTTTCCAGAACGTGGCACAGACATAGACAGATGCAGAACGGCTTCAGGCATACTGAGTTGGCAGTTTCATGCCTGCGGTCCCATAGGAACTTTGCTTCCCACACAAGTTGTTGGAAGCTTATCCCGCCTGAAGGCGCTCAGCAGGAACAGTAGTACCCCCACCTCCTAATAAAGTATCCGCGATGACCTTGATAAATCATGACCACCCCTACCGGCTGAACAACGGTCTTGGTCTTGCCATCTTCATCCTGCCCTGTTTTCGAGAAGTGTGCCTTCCAAACAGCGTGCCTTCAAGTGGTGCAGTGAGTTTGTTCAGGATGAAGTAAACTTTCGAGTCTGTTGCCTGCAGGCTGAGAAGGCTTGGCGGCGGCACTCGGGACCTCGGCAAAGTCTGAGTGCAAGCATGCCTTCAAGCTGCATTGCATTCCCTTCATTCGTCAGGGCTGACATTCTTGGACGAACCTGAATTATGGGCACAAAAACGAACTACGGTGCTAAGCTGCGGTGCTGCAATAGCAGTTTTCCATCACGAGCAGCTGGCATGCTAAGGAGCACACTTTGGTTGAAATCTGGCCTTGTATCATGCCACAATACCGATGTCAATATCCTTCTCGCTAATGTTCCGCGGAAGTGGACTCTGTTCTCTTGGGAGTTTGGCCTCTCGATGAAGTTGCTGCAGGGGTGACCTTCATTGCCTCCAGGGCTTTCGATCTACAAGCAAATCGCATAAAGTCCATCCGTGCCTGCAGGATAGCTTGCTGAATGGCGGACGGATCTTTCTGCCCCTGGCATTCCTGGCTCAGTCATGCATTGCATGTTGCTACAAGTACAACACTTTATGGCAGAGCACCTGAGCAGCCCAAGCCACCAAGCGCTCCCGGTACTCTGGCTTGGCCTGCGCGATTCCAGTTACAATACTCTTCGTGACATCGTGACCTTTCTACTCTCAGGATCCCACAATTGCGAATAGATATGCTTCAAAGGCCGCATCGTTAGAGCGCTACATCGCCATGCAGGATCCTAAGTGCGGCGACTGGCATTTGGAGCCACTGGCCAACCACAATCGAAGGCATCCTCAAGCATGCGAGCACTGCCCACGTTTGGATTCGTGCACGGAAGCTTGCGAATTATGCGATTGTGTTTTCTTGCGATACCCTGCGGTCAGAACAGGTCTAGCCTACGAGAAGTAACGGAATCCCCGTCCCCGACTCGATGTCATCTGACATGGTCGTCCCACGTAGACTGGCAAAGCCATAGACACGAAAATGGCATGGCGTGTCACTTCCGCCCTTTCAGCAACTCGACTGTGCAGCAGATTGGGATAGCTCATGAAAGACAAGCCTTACTCCGTCACGACGCTATGGGGACGGGGACTTCCATAGTGCCATCACGGAACCTGGTCGAAATGGCCTAAGCTCCGTGGTGCTCTTATCTTGAGCGATGAGATAAAAACTTTCAGGGCGATGGATTCACAAAGGCATCGTCACCTTTGCTAGGCTGAGGCCACTCCAGAAAGCCCACATCTCATGTCTCCTTTCTCTGAAACGCACGAGCTCGCCGACACTACCGTCAAAGTCTCTAGAGATGAGAAAATGCAGAACGGCACTGGAGTAGCACGGAGCATGGAAAGGCAATTTTGAAAAGAGTCGCTGAAGTACTTGGGGGTGTTCGGGTGACCAGTTTCCAAACTTGCCCGGTAAGTGCACATAACTGCTGGAAATCGGGTCTTCGCCAGCACATGTTGTGATTCGTGTGCTCCCCAAGCTTTGTAGATCAAGGCATCCTTCCCGTATCTGCCAATGCGACTGCATCCAACATACCACCACCATGAGGAGCCCACCTAGGACTGACGACCAGCAGGAAGAGGATGCACGTTCAGCGTGCCGGTCAGATAGGCAGCTGCTTCACAAAATAGCTGAGCTTTCTGTGACCTAGTGCTCCTACTAGTGAGCGTGCGGTAAGGATTGTCATTTCGACAAACAGAAGGCTGATCACATAAACAGTGGCATCCTTCTTCCGGTCGGCCGCCAGCAAGCATGCATCCAGGTGGTAACACCACCCGGGCGATAACACAGCTCTGCAGTTGCAGAAGATAAATTGCAGGGCACGGTCGTGAACTGCAGAGCATGTGCGTTGAGTATTCCACATGCAAGCTGCCCATCAACATTTAAGAGACTTCAGGTGCGATACAGATTATGTTGCGCTTAGCACCTGTTCTCTTGAACGACAGGCAGGGAGAACTTGGCGCTCACTCAAGTCCCGTCTCTCTGTATGTTGGTGTAGCAGGACAGGTACCGGGTTTCGAGACAAGCACAGGTGAAGACTCCGCCAAGCTCGCCGTAGAGTTGGGCGCCTGTGCCTACAAAGAGAAACGAAGAACAACTGCTCAGGAAGCTCTTTTGAATCAAACCTTGGTGCTGCACGTGTCGTGCCAGCGATTTCACGAACTGGACTAAGATGTACGGCAGACTGCATGGATGCACCATGGGCATCCAGGGCACTCGGTGGATAATGCGCTTGGGAGGTACCAGGCCAGAGTCAAACTGCAGGCCTGCAGAGCCAAGGACCATGGAGGCAATGCACTTCTGGGTGAATCTCATTACTCCTGCTACTGGGTACTGGGTAGGCAAGCGGTGCCTTCACAGACTCCTGGCAGGGAGGTTGCCTGTTGAGCAAATTGCTGGTTGTCCTGTGCCCAGGAAAGTCTGATCTTCAACCCCCTGCTGATCTACAGCGAAATGCAGCGAAAATTGGCCCCCATTATACACCAACTGTGTCGGGACATGTTTATTATTGCAACATATTCGCTCAGACATGTGTTCATAAACGTATAGTCTTCGTCTCCATGACTATGGCATTATCAGGATCCGTGGTCCTGGACGTGCCGGCTCAGGGTCCTGAAACTCTGATCTTCGTCTCTCAGCCTGCTGAGGCTGGAGGCTGGGCCCAAAGCAGTGAGGTCCAAAAAAGATGAAAAGAGTGCCGGCTGATACTACATGCCGTATCTTTGACTGCCGAGGGTCTCCGTCTCTTTCTGTTTGGATCCGGCCTCCCCATCCATGAGACACCTGAGCATCGCAACAAGCAACAGAAACCTGCATCGCCATGCTTTCCTGCTATCCAAGGTGCTTCAGCAGGTGCTCTGCTCGGTTTAGAACATAGCCCTCACTTCCTATTGGCTCCTCCTTCGCTTCCACGGCAGGCACCTGCGGTAGGCATCCCGGTTAACGCAGACCCGATACTTCCCCCGAACACACCTCACGAGATCCTAGGCACGGATCAGGAACCTCAGGAGCCTGGGTTTTTGAATCAGAGGCGCAAACTTTGGTGTTGTCTAAGCCTGCTCTTAGATATCTGCCAAGCGCAGACCCCTTGAACAGTAGACGGATGCCCACCTCCGTTTGGTCCCGGACTCGGTCACTGGATGGGGAGTCCAAGTTCGAGTCCTTCCGTGCTGGAAGCTCGGAGTATGTATTCATTTCGCCACTGCGACTGTTCTGCATACCATTGCTGCATGTATGTATGTATGCATGTATGCACGTATGTATTTATGTGTGTGCATGTATGATTATGTATGACCGCATGCATGTATTTATGTATGTGTACACATGCACCTATACATTTATTGTAGATGCATGCATACACACATACAGAATGACATGACACCTCGCCCAAAGAACTATTATCTATCTCTGTACAGTTCCTATCACAAGCAGGAGGTAGGACCATCTGCAAGAAACCGAACGCACCATATGCAACACTATGCACGAAGGAGCCGCAGTGTCGAGGTCGAGTCGAGGTCCGTCAAAGTGAAGTTCAGAGTGCCCCAAAGTGTTACCGCGGCGTGGGCGGAGGGCACGTTGAACCACGTTGGGCTACGTTGATTCCTCAATGTGGCGCATCAGAGATTCAACATCTGCCCCGGAGATCGCCGGAGCATCTTGAATCCAGAGGTACATCACATTGCAATTTCAGTGAGGCCCGACGTTCTTGAAACGGCTCTCCGCCCTCCCAAAGTCTGCCCTGGGCATGCAAGCAACCAATGCGGTCCCGTAGCTCCACAGTTTGCTTTATTTAGGAACACTTTCAACCGTGGCCAAGTTGCACCGTCATGCTCTCAGGGAGAATACAATCAGATTGTGAAAGTAAACAGCACTGGCTCGACGTACGGGTCTTATGCATAAACTTAATGCGCAGCACGTTTCACCAAACCCCGACTGCTCATTTATTGGCCTTGTGCTGCATTGCACGAGGCACGTTTCCGTAGGGCATTACGAAGGATGATGACAGAGAACAGCACGAGGGTAGGTGCTTACATGTCGTTTATCTCAACACCACTAGCCGCACGATTAGACCCGACAAAAACACATGTCTGGATACTTTGCCGCAGTGCTGCCGACTCCAAACGACTGTTGTTGACAATCCATTCCGACGGCCCAAAAAGGTTTTGGTACATGTACATATGTACGTATGTATGTATGTAAGCATGTAAGTATGTATCTATATACGTGTACATATGCCTGTACTGTTAGACACACCTATATACAGATATGACAACTCCAAATGCAGGCTCTCTGCCTCTGTCCGGGAATCCATGGCATCTGAGATCCTGCCCTCCTTCAAAGGAGCCTGAGCGGTCAGAGTGACAAGGGCAGCACTGACGCGCTTCAGCTTATCGATGGAGGATTGATCGCAGGATCAGGGCCGTGTTTGATGCAGCTCCGGCGTGGGAGGAGCATTATGACCACTGGCTCTTCAGCAGCCGAAACTCCAATGAGTTGCGCAGAACATTGGTGTACACTGAGTTCAGACTAGGCTCGGTTCCATCCCACCACGAGATCTTCATGTTCTCGAATGCCAGGCGCTCCAATGCCTCAGTACTGAGTTGCCACCGCTCTCACGTGGCATCTGTCGCACAACCTGAAGCCTTCAGCTCTCGCCCCAAAGCCCGTGTAGTCTGCGTCGCATGCGGCCACCTCACCACCAAAATCTGAGCGGTATCACGCAGGCAATTCTGAAGCGAGCCCTAAACACTCCCCGGCAATGTGAAATTCGACACCTCGCATGATGTGCTTCACAGCCGCGATGGTCCGTCGCAGCTCGCTGCGCCCAGGCGGTGGTTGCCGTGCGAAGCGCAGCGCGGCTGTCGCCTCTGCCTCAGTTTCCTGGCCAGTGATTCTTGAGAAGTCTTCAGGCTGGGGGACTCCGGCCAGTGCCGACTCACTTCTCTTGGGTCAATCACGTCTTCGAAGAGCTTTCTTTGGCAACTCGATGCAACTCGTTTGTCTTGCTGGGGATCGGCCTCGGCTTCGGCCACGGCCTTTGGCTGCCAGCGAAAGCCCGCGTCGCGCACGCGGACGTCGCCCTCACTGACAGACTTGTTACAGAATGACTGATTTGCTCTCGAATTTTCCATATGAAGCTATTCCCGAAAAATGGATGCATGCCCTTTGCCTTCTATCTGCGAAACTGCAGGCTAGCCAGTCCTCGGCTTGTGGCCGCTTCCAGGATGGGACGCCTCGATGTCGGCGCATTCGCCAGGCGATCTGACAGGAACTGTCTGCAAAGATTCTCCAGATCACACTATGCTGATGGAAGGGGGGATCGCTGTAGGCTGTACGGAACGCAGTGCTCGTGAAAGCTTGCCGGCGGCTGGGTCCAAGTGCATTCCTGATGCTCGGTTCTGCTCGAAGGCAGACGCCTCTGGCTAGAGCATTCTTTAGCGTTCTGCGTCGCGGGGTCTAGCATATCTCGAAGCGGGAGCTTTCGTGCCGCCAACACCGACTGGAGGGGAGAGGGGCCGAGGATCTGCTTTAAACAAGAGAGCCAACCAGGGTGTCAAAGTATCCGTGCAAGTGACAAGAAGCAGCAAATGATCGGCGAATGCCTCAAATCGATCGGAACAAGAACGACTCTTTCTCTTGATGCTCAAAAGGCAGCGTTAAGGCAGGTGTCGTCAGGCACAGGAAACTCAGACTTCGTAAGTTCTTATGCCATGGAACCTCTTGACGTGCCAGTGCAGATAGTGACACAACGAGAAGTCTACTCCTTCCTTGACTCCTTCCTTGACTGCAGATCACGTGAATCGAAGAAGGGGAGCGCACCATGAGATCATCGCTCTCCAGGTGCGGTGCCAGGCCCATGGCAACCTGAGCGGCGGAGAACCAGAGGAATGCTTCAGGATCCTTGGCTTGACCCAAAACGTCGACGAGTGTAAAGTTTAGTCAAGCCAACTGACCGGGCATGCTTTGCCAAATCCTATGCCTCAATCGTCATGAACCGTTCTACAAGTCATACAACCCGTGATTGATGAAAGCCGACAAGCTGTCCTTTGAATGAGCTTCCGGCGTCTGCTAGGCAGGTGGCCACCAGTTGACAGTTCTGCAAATCAACGCGATGTGACTCAAATATTCAGCAAATCTGGATATTCGCTCACGGTTGATATGCTGACCACTTCATCGTTGGGGAGTCAGCCAAGCAACAAAGAGATGCAGTGAGGCCGACGGCCACAGGAACGAGATAAACACTGAGGCAAGAACAAAAAAGCCAATTCGAGCACTCGAATGTCAACCTGCAAAGTTGTCCTGAAGATCGTCATCAGCTTTCGCCGCAGCAACCTTGCCGCCAACGATGGACAAACGCGAACTCCTATCGCTGATCACACATCCTGCCGAGGTCGAGACAAAATGCTTGATGCCAAGGAGTCGGAGACGTTCCTTGCTCTGCAAATGGAACGCTTCCAGTTGCATGGCCACTGCAATCCAGGGCATCCACCATCTGCTTGGAAGGCGCCGTGCCTGCAGACAAATTGAAGGCCTCGCGAGCTTCGAGTTGTACGGGAGCGGCCTTCTTGAAGTCTCACAGGCGGCTGGAACTGGTGGCGCCCTCTCAGGACGAGATCACGGCAAGGGGTCGCAGCACTTAATACGAGCCTTGAGTGCCGGTGGCCGGGCGCTGCCTTGTTCTGATTTGCGGCTTTGAATAGAAGCGCCCAGTGTGAGGTTCGCGCGCAGTGCCCGGTCGTGATCCGGCGGTGGACGGGCGACCTGCAGCCTCAGTGGCCACAGATCGCCAAAGCGAAGTAGTTCTTGTCCACCACGGAGGCCGAGGCACTGGCCGTGGCCGCCTTTCGGGCCGAGTGTGAAGCAACGGAGCCCACGACATCCTACCCGTGGGACTTCCGCTGACTCTGACGTCTCACAAAGGCGTCAGGCGCACGCCACCCCTGCTTTGCCTCCAAAGCCGCCAGCACCCAAGCGGCTCCTCGCTCTGGCCAGGCCTAGAGGAGCAGTCAGTTGGGACTCCAGAAGCCTGCTTCCCGCCCAAACCCTAGTGACCCCCAGGCCTCCCCTCCTGTCGCACCTTCGGCTGGCGGCACCTGCAGACACGGCGATCAGAGGTTTAGTTAGCTGCGAAGCGGGCCGAGGAGGTCGCCGGACTCACACTGCGCAAGCCCTGGCGACCTAGCACAAGCTTCGAGTTCTTTGCACGGGAGGAGCAGAACGCTGGTGGAGGATCGAGGTTCCAGCCGCGTGTCAGTACCTCTGCCAGCTTCCTTTGCCTCAGCATCAGTCTAGCACCACATCCACATCCACATCCACCACACTTCCACGACTCAACTGTGGTACTCCCGTCTTCTGGCGGCTCGGGGACGAACAGCGGCAAAGTCGGGCTTCCACCCTGCGATCGGCGGCGAAGGCGCTCCGCTCTGCGCTCACATCAGCGAGCTCGGAGCCTCCAAGCGCTCCGAGGCCTCCGGTCTGCAGTGTTATAAGTTATATAAGAGTTAAGAGTTCAGTAAGTATGTGTGCTCCCGAAGTCCTGCGGACAGCCGCATAAACTCTGAACATGAACAGCTAGCACAGTTTTTCCTGAAAACCGCACGATGTCACTGGATGACAGGATCTCCGAAATATCAACCTGAGAAGCCGACGTCGTCCCACCAAGCATTGGTGCAGGTCGCGCCGACCTCGTTGACTTGACGAGATTCCGCGTTGACGCGTTTGGCCGTTTGGTTCTGCGACGCGAGTAAGAAGTGCAACCGAGAACGGGCAGGGGGTGCTCGGCTAAGGCCCAGGCCAAACTTTGCAGTCGGCTTTTCAAGGCATCAGCCTGGCCAGAACGCCGAGTGTTCTTGCAGGGCTCCAGATGTCGCGACTTGGAGTAGCCGTGTCAGGAACTGTCTCCAAGTCCGGCACGCTAGTAGTGGCACTGAGTGTGGCAGCATGCCTTTCAGCAGACTGCAGATCATGTTTGCATCGACTGCACTGTCGGTATATCGTGGTCGTACAGTTCCTGCAGTGAGTGCAGCCGAAGAGCGCCGCCAGCCAAGCATCGATGAGAGACTGTGCCTGGCACGAACCGGAGCGCACTATTACACGTGTGGGGTTCGATCCCTTCACATCCAGGGCGGGGAGGCGATATGGAAGCTCGCAGACATGAAACTTCGTGCAGGCACCAGCCTGTCGCTCAGCTGTCGTTCTAGAACGCCGCTCACTGCAATGCAAACGCAAAACCAAGTCAGAATCTGTCCAAATCTAATCACGAACCCGAAGTGCAAGCTGCAGCTGGTCAAGATCGCGGTCGCACAGCACTGTCAAACTCAGCCAGAACTCAGAAGCTGTCTGCAAAAGATGCACTTTGGGCCCTCCGCAGCACACCAAGCCTTTTTGGCAGCGCACGCAACACCACTGCAACCACGATCCCACACACGACCTGAATGGGAATGGCATGTTGCTGCGCACGATAATACATCCTGGCTACAGCATCTTTTCTCTAGATCTGGCCTCATCATCGGCTGATGGCTTCATCCTACAAAGAATCCTAGCATGGTCGGACCGAGTAAAGCTTTTCCTGCTCGGCGCATGTTGGGCTGTGATCGCTTTGGATGCTGCTCTGCATAACACGTGTGCTGCTTTTACAAATTGCCCACGCCTTGATTCGCGGTAGGTCAGAATTTCCAGAATGCACTCAGTTTGAGCTGATCGGCTAAACAGCAAGAAAGCCTGCTCCATCGGGCACAAGTGCAACTGAACTGGCTCGGCATATCGACACATTACTTTAGAATTTTTGAACCCGTTCATCTGGCCACGTGGTCTACATATCCGGCTGCCCGCGTGATGCTCAGATCGTACAGCGCCTCAGCCACTTTCGCGGATGCTTGTTTTCCAAAATCACATCTTCTCGTCATGCGAGATGGAGGTGACCTGTACCGGAAGATGTCGCCACCCTTGTGAGATTGCACAAGTCCTAAGTTCCGGGCACCGTCTTCTCGAGTGCTCGCTTGGCCGCACCTCGGTCGAGGCATCCAAACTCAATTTAGCCGTCTTCTCTACGACGGCCAACCCCTGTGTTGGAGTTGTTGAACCCATGCAGAAACTTTTGGAGGACGAAGAAGAACTGGGACCTTCTTCCGAAGCAGAGCTCATGGCTTCAGGAGCCTGATAAGTTTGAAAATTCTCGCTCTGAAGCTCCGAAGGCCACCCTGTCCCACCAAACCTTGCCTTTTGATTCGCTACTAGTAGTGCAAGGCTGATCCTAAGTACAAGGGCAGTCGGCAGTTGGACGTATTGCTGTATTCGCCTCGGCCCCGGCCAAAGCGGTCAGAGGTTCCTATTCGGATTACCTCTGTTCCCCACCTCGTAATCCCCTCACCAGTGACCCCACCCTCCGAAAAAAGGGGGGGCTGTCTCCGTGAGCCCCAAGGTCCTGCGGTCAATGGATTTGGGCTTTCTGTAGGACTTCCTTGACCCCCTCGGCTCACCCCGCGTTTGCACCGCTTTCCCGCCTTTCTTGCTTCCGCGCCTTTCTTGTTTTTTTCTTTCGATTCTTGTTGCTCGCTTTCCACTTTACTTCCTTTCCTCTTTCTCGTCCCAACTGCACTGGCTGAGAGCGGCAGCCGTCGATGCGCCGCAAGCCCACGGTTTTTGACGATTGCCTTCGCGTCAGCCCCGGCCGATTCCAGCGCATACGTGAGCAGCCGGGCCGAGGCGGGCGACGCAAAGCGTTTAAAATCATTATAGCTACCTGGCTCGCAACATGATACTGACTGAGTTGGTATGATCAAGTATTATTTTCCTCTCATATAGAGGTTGCGGAATCCAGGCTGCCTCCTTCGAGAAAGTCTGAAAAAGATCGTCGGCTTGGATGCTATGCTACTGACTATGCTCATCCTCCCATGCTTCACAACTGCCAACACTGCAGCCGAGCCGCCAGTTCTGCGGCGAGCAGTGTGGGGCACACGAGTCTAGACAGGCCACATTCTCCTCCACAAGCCTGAGCGCAGCAGGGCCGAGGCTTCTGATGCAGGCCGACGCTTTCGTAGCCAGCCTCTCGTTGATCAGCCGTTCGGCGGAGCAGAAGATCATTGCCGTTGAAGGCTCCAGCTCTCTGTAGAATGCGGCGGCCTTATTCACATGAACTCGTCAAGTCTTTTCTCCACATCCCACCGCCTGTCCGAAGATCCCTAATCTCGGCGCCGCACCAAGTGCGGCTTCGGTCTACCTTGAAACGGGAGTTTTTAAAGTTCTGTTCTTGCAAATGCCGACCGGGCCAGGCTCCTACATCACGCATCGGCGAACTGTGAAGTGCTTGCCGAGTTGCAGCTGTCCCCGGAGCAGCGGAGGATTGACCTCGGCCGCAGGGCTCTGCACGAGTTGCCTTGGCAGCGACGGACTTGCCGCAATAAGCCCCAAGCACTGTGGGACCGCGGCCTTCGGAGGTCCGCAGAACGGCTCCGACCTGAAAGTCTCAAGGAGCTGGGAGCGCAGCGATTATAATCCTCTGCCCCGGCCTTCCCCGATCCCAACGTCGCAAGAAAGTGGGGAAGTCTGACAGGCAGTCTTCGACCGTGACCTGCCCTAAACCACCCGCAAACAGATTCGTCCGCATCCCCCTCCACCAAGGTTCGAACGAGAGACCAACACACATCGACTCCCCTCGATGCGAATTGAAGCACCGTGACGCACCTCAAGGTACTGGTACTGTTGATTCCGGATGTATTTTCTGGAGGGTCATCCCAGCCTGGGTGTCCACTTCTCCCGGGTCCTGAAACCAGACGCGCAACTAGTGAAGGGCTTGATCGTCAGAGCACTGCCAATTGCGCAGGTAATCAAGCAACTTCTGACATCAGGACATGAAGTATCCGCTGTGGCAAGCTTGGAGCATTTAGCTGCAGGCTGCAGCCGTCTGTTCTGGCATGGGCTGCGACCTCGAAGTTCGACTGCCCAACAGTCAGCAGCATCACCTGCACTAGCGTCGCGTGACATGCCCACGGAAGCGATATGACAGTATTATACAGAGATATACAGAGGTCGTTGCTTCACGCTCGCACGGCAACACAAGCCTAAACCCTGAAACCCGAAACCCTAAAAGCGTGGGGAAGGGGGGCGGGGCGGCTTGTGCTTTGCAGAATCTGAAATTCTCCATGTGGATACCGGAATTCAAACCAGCGGAGCAACTGTTGCAACACAATCACCAGCTCGTGTGCCCGACACGGAGGCGAGGGGAGGGGGGGCGAAAAGCACAGGCTGCTGTCAACCTGGGGAAGCGAGAACACTCGCAATACTGGCACGAACATGAACAATAATAGCAAGGCAGCGACTGCTACAGTTCTCAGCGCAAGAATCGTGGATCACAAGGTCATCGCAACCGCACTATTCATCGTAGCTTGGAGCGAAGCATGGTAGCTGAGGCCCAATTTCGACTGACCGACCTTGCAGCCCAAAGCACCCCAACACGGCATCATGAGCATCATTGGTGCCTCGTTTCTCCTTTAAAGCCTTCAGCATTCAGGGTCCCAGTGCCATTGCCAAGCCGTTTCCGTCCCCTCACACCCCAGCGAAAGCGATCCTCAATTTTGAGGGAGCTCGGAGGAAAAGACTTGAATGTCATGATTCTGCAACTCCCCGAAATGTCGAAAAGCTATCTTCGGTGTGTCGCGAGACTATGCATGGCTCGGGCTTTAGCGTCTAGTCTTTGAAGTCTACGTCTCAAGCCAAAGCACGGACAAGGACCTTGAGCCTCTGACTGCCGTGCCCGATGCATGCTCGACCACCGACACATGCGAGACCAGCTGATTCCCGCCATGGCTGAAATCAGCTCAATGGCCAGTAGGTACTGCTTGCCCAGCTCGCAAGCAGTCACCCCGGCATTGAAGCTAATTTCATCCTGCTGAAGTTTGGCCTTGGGCATTTGTTGAAGCAAGGTAAGGGCTTCGCTCCACTTCCCTGCCCTGCTGCAGCAGGTGATAGCAGAGTTTTGTATGATCTGATTTGGCCAGACTCTGGCTTCCGACATCTCCAGCAACAGCTGTCCTACGACCTGCCAGCGCAGTCTCGCCTCGCAGGCGCTTATGGCACTGCCATAGGTGACTTGGTCTGGCAGCAACATGCGGTTTCGAAGTAGGGACAAGAATTGCAATGCAATCTGCCAAGAGCCGCTTCTCCCACACGCACCGATTGCACTGTTGAAACTGATCTCATCGGGAATAAGCTTCGTCGCCGACATGTCCATCAAAAGGCACAAGGCCCCTTGCCAATGCCCGGCTTTCTCGCAAGCACTGATAGCACTGTTGTATGTAACCTCGTTTGCTCGAGCCTTCTCGACGGACATGTGCGTCAGCACGTGCACTGCGCGCTGCCACTGCCCCCCTTTCTCATAGGCACTGACCAAACTGCTGTAGCTGAATTCGTTTGCAAGTATGGTAGCTTGTCGCATTTTGTCAAGTAGATGAAGAGCAACATCCCACTTTCCAGTACAGGCACTGATGGCAGAACTGTACGCAATCTGATCAGCATACAGCCTGGAGGACGGAAGGCATGCCAACAAGTAAAGTGCATATTGCCATTGCCTGCCTTTGGCGCATGCACTGATCAAGCTGCAGAACGTAATGAGATCAGGGCACAAATCTGCATTGTGCAAACTTGCCAAAAGGCACAGCGCCTGCTGCCATTCTCCTGCTTTCTCACTTGCACTAATGACACTGTTGTAGGAAATTACATCTGGCCTCATCCGGGCTTCTGACATGCTGGCAAAAAGCACGAGAGCGATTTGCCACTGTCCGCCCTTTTCGCAGGCCGTAATGGCACTGCTAAGGTTTATCTCATTCGGCAGAACACGTGTCGTGCACATGTCTGCTAGAAGATGGATTGCCCGTGTCCACTGCTGAGCCCTGGCACAGGAGCTTATGGCTTCACCGTAGCTAATGTTGTCTGGCATCCATTCTGATCTCTGTAGGTCCGACAGCAAAGAAATCACATGCTGCCATTGTGTGCACTTGCTACACACATTCATTGCAGCGTTGTACGTGATGATGTTGGGCATAGTCTTCTTATCGGGCATGCCAGCAAGGATCTCGATGGCTGCCTGCCATCGTGCAGTCTTTCCAGATGCTGTAATGGCCTTGTTGTAAACTGATGGCGGCTTCGACAGCGTCGCCTTTTCAGGCATCTGGGCATCGGCAGTCTGCTTCGCGCACGAGCCCGGAATTGATTCTGGCAGTGTCTCACTCGCTCGCGGTTTGAGCCCTTGCTACTGGGTAGGGCAGCCTTGGGCCTTGCAGAAGTCTTCCGCTGGGCAAAAACAGGCGCATCCGAGCCTCGTCGGGCCGTCGAGTCTGCGAGACGGCGTAGCCTCGGTGCAACGGACGGAGCTACAGTGGCCCTTGCGGCGCCATGCGCAGCCCAGAAGCCACTGGGCTAAGGTGCGAGCGCAGGGTCAAGCCCAGCAAGAAGTCGTCCGTGTCATCCATCAAGGCCACGTGAAGAATCACCCTCCAGTCGCAGGTTAGTGAACAAGTGAAGGAGGCGTTGCCCCTGGCAGGCCTCCTGGGCCGCAAGGAAGTCCAAAGCCAAGGATGGCGTTCGATCAGCTCCGACCAGCACTCCTCAATTCGAATGAGCTAAGTAAATAGGCAAATCGAACTGCACCCCACACGCGTGGATCTCATGGCTCCGTAGACCGACTTGTAGGCAAGGGCGGCGGCAAAGAGGTGCCCAGCACCTGAAGTGGAGATGCGCCAGCACAAGGTCGGCAACAAGAATGTGATTAGACATGATGGGCCGGGAAGCTCTCACTGGGAGGTCTGAAGCTACCTTTGGAAGCAAGCTGCAGTCCGCGCCTACGCTGTGCCTACTGCGGGATGCTGCGCGCATGTAAGAATGTTCCGTCTGCATGCTGCACATAGCCAAGAGAGATCGTACCCATGCCGCCACTACTACTGCCTGCCAAACTGTGTTTCGGCAGATGGAGACTCAAGTTTCCCCCAGCTTCCTGTCGCAGCCAGCGCCGGCACTTGCCAGCGCTAGTGTGTTCGCAGATGTTCGCAGTGTGTAAGCCCCAAGCCCAAGGCCATGGTAACACCCCGCGAGCAACGTGAAGGGTATCGCTGTGCTCCCTTTGAGCCCACCTCGGTCGGCACCCCATTGAGGGCGATATGGCTGGCCACGACGAGATCCTTGGGAAAACAGGCGTCGTCCACTGGAGTCTGCGCGACAAGTTTCCGAGGCAGAGCTGCTGGTCAAGCGTCGGGCTCTTGAGCACAAGGACCATGCAAGTCTTCAATGATCCGCCTCATCTTGGCAAGACAGCCAGCACCATCTTCGAGCGCTGAAGCAAAAGAAAAAATCAACTTCAATCCGGGGAGCTCATCAAAAAAGCCTCTGCGGTACAAAGCTCCCAGGGACGTGACCGGAATGGGACCACCATGCCTAAATCCGCACGGCTTTGCCAGTCTACTGTGCAACAGAATTGGAACCTTTCAGCCTGACACCAGCCTCTGTATGTATGTGTTTTTGCATGCAGCTGGTCTCAACCCGTCTTTCGACAAAGATTCGGCTAAAAGTCGTGCCAACGCTGGTTGGACTCATGCTGATGTTACAGTAGACGTGCCAAAGAGCTCGCCGTACAGAGATGCGTGGCTGGCAATGACAGCCTCAGCGAACAAACGAACAAATGGATGTCCGAGTACGACAGTGCGCTGTCCGGAAACGTGTTGCTCGGGTCTGACTGCATGTCCAGCAACACCAGCCCAAAGATCTGAAGCCTCCAACATGTCAGGTCTGTGCAACGATCAGCTCATCACAACACAGCTTCCTGGCTTCCTGCTTTTTGTAGACTTATACGATCCAAACGCATCATACAATTCATTTGTGGCACAAGAATGTGCGGCAAGGGAACGCTTCTCTCATTCCCAGGCATTCGGTGGCGCACAAGTCAGATCTGAAGTTGCAAGGCCTGGAGAAAGTCCGACAGCGGCGGAACTTTGCGCCGAAAACCTTCGGCTGCACAGACGGCTCGGCCCCGCCAGCCAATGTGTCAAGCATCATGGCAATGTGTGCAGGATGTGAATAGGCGATGGCCTCTAAGAAAGATCTGCGTCTCGGGAAGCTTCTCCAAGTCCAGTACTGCAAGGAGCGGATGAAACCTTAGAGGGCTCTGCAAGTTTTCGCTCAGAAATCTCCAGAATTTCTGGTCCAAGCAATCGCGCTTGCACTGGCCAAAGTCCGAAGCCTGACCCAAACGAGAAGATACAGCCGAAACTCAGCAGGGGGCCGGCGCTTGCGATCGATGCAGGCTATGCGGAGCCTCCCAAGCAAGCAGCACAGTCCTTTTAGGCTTAAGGCGGAAGTCCACGCCCACTTTTCCGGGAGCTCAACTGCCGAGGCCCCGTCTTGGGCTGCGCTGCCCAAGCTCCCACTCCGCAGCGCCTGGCGCCTGCTCGGGCCTCAAAGTGCCGAAAAGAAAGGGAAAGGCAGGGAAAGATCGCAAGCAGAAATCTCAAACTCACGTACCTGCAAAAGGTAAAGATCTCCATAATACAGACAGGCGCCGTCGAGTGTCAGAACGCGACGTGTGCGTCTGTATGTGTATATATATACACACACACTCAACTGCTCGAATGACTCAACTTGTCATGGTCGATCTGTTACGATTAATATGGACCAGGCACGCATGCTTAGCTGTCTTAGCTCTCTCTCCGGACTTTACCTCGAGTCTTTGTGTACAAGGCTCATGCACCTGACCCCTTCGATCTCTGTGCCTGTCAAGGAGCTCTGAGGGCCACGACGATTAGCTGGGCACCTTCCGAAGAACAGAAACAGCTACGCTCTGCGAGAGGGCGCTGGAAGCCCTGCGCCTGGCATTCGCCCGGCCCGTGCGGCAAGCCGAAGTGCTGCTGCCGGGGCGGCCACTACCACCACCTGAAGAGTGCAGCTCGGAAGGGAGCATCTCCATACCTAGTAGGGATCACTCAGAGGCCGGCCACACGACGAGGCAGTCTCTCGCCTTCGGCCAGGAAGGCCTTGACAACAGGATCCTGCAACCGGAGACTGGGTGCTTGGGCAAGGTCGAAGTCTCTCGAGTGGCTCCTCCAGTCCTTGCCCGTGGATAAGATCCAACTTGGCCCTGAGCCTGTCTTCCCCAGTACCGAGCCAGGCTGCGGCTTTGAGCAGCTTCTTTGCAGCCATGGAACGTAGGACTCTCCCTCCATGGCCCAGCCATGTCTCGGAGGGCTCCTGATCGGTTGGCTGTCAATCCGTGGTTTGACTCCCCCGCCTGTCAAGTTCTTGCCGCAGACCATCCTAGAGTCCTATGCCTGTGCATCTCCGTCTGCTGATCTTATCGCGTAGCGTAATATCCCAATGAATCGCTTTGTCCATGGGAACCGATCCAATCCTGCATGCCGATGGACGTAGAAGTGCTGGCTGAACTTGGGCATAAAGATGGCGCCTTCATCTTCTACGGACGACTGGCCAGCAACACCGCACCGCAAACAGGAAGCTCAATCTCAAGCTGCCTTGAATACGATCGGCGGGATATGCAGCCAACCTTCAAGCACAGCGCAGGACCAGAAAGCAGCTCGAAGACAACCAAGACAAACAAAAGCGATGGCGACCTCCCGATCCCAGCCTTCGGAAGGAGATGCTTCCATCTTCTCGGCGGCAAAGCTCTCGACTCGGTCTGGCTTTGCGACTGCAGCTCACGTGCCATTGGACCTGACCAGAGTGCACTGTCACTTGCTCGTCCCTCCGGGCTGTGGCTGTACCCATTGGGGTGCACACCATGGAACGGAAATCAAGAGGACCAGGAACTGCGGCAGGCGAGAGAATAACCAGGGTCGCCGGATCCTGCAGATGTCGTCAACCCTGCTCTCCCTTGGGGCTGGTGCTCCCACTCTGGCATGGGTCGGCCCGGCACCTTTCAGCCATGACGGGTCACCCCACGGTTTACAACATTTTACAAGTCTCTCCCAGTGCTCCCCGTATGCTCTCTACTTGAAGCTCCTCCTCGAACTGGAGGGCTGCGCTCAAGGCCTTCGCAATCGCAGGCTGCACCACGATGCCGGAGAATGAAAACCCCACGCGGTTGACAGTTGACAGGATGCTATCGTTGTCGGCTGGCTACATGTTTGCCCATAGATGGTCCACGAGTTTCAGGATGAAGCCTCCGCAAGGTCGCAGCTCGCGTAGCAGCTTTTCATCGTCACCTGCCATCGGGGACTCATGCACTGCAACCAGGTGCTCATGTGCTGATTCTGATGCTTTCCAGGTATGCGGTGGCGAGACACTGAGTTTCAAACACTTGAGACAAGGCACATGTCACAGGGAAGATGCTTCCAGCCTCGAAAGAGGATGCAAATGTTCCAAGCTGGCGGTGAACACCTGCTGCTAGCCGGATTTAGCCGGGTAAGCTGCCTAGATTTAGAAGCTGGAAGCACTCACCTGCCTGTCCGTTCTCAGCCCTACACTCGCTGGCCTCCACGGACCCTGAATGCTCGCTGGCTCGTCACCGTGTGCTTGGGTGCAGCCTGTCAGCTCGATGAAACCTCTGCAGCACTGCAAGGCACTACGGAGCTATGGGACATCAGCAGTCCACCGCCTCGCCGAGCAAGTAGAGCGCCTTGACGGATCAAATGCCGGCCAGACAGTTACAAAGCCGACAGGCTCCAAACTACGCAGACACTCAACAGTGGTAGTGACGGTTAATGCTTGTCGCATCTAGTCGCCTTCACTTCATGTACATGAAAATGACGTGATCTGCAACTTACGATGAAATGCAAAGCCACCTGTCCCACAAATAGTGTCAGACTCTTAGAGTCTCTCGAGAACTTGGCAAGAAGGCCTCATCCCGACAACAAAGGACCGGTATGCGTTCATGGCCTGGGCGCCAGCACCCACCAGGCGTCGCAGTGCACTTTCGGAGGTGCCGCGGCCGAGCGGCGCTGCCACAGCCACGCGATACTGGACGAGCAGGGAGCACCGATAAGTACAGGCATCAGCTCGCGCAGCTTGAGGCCTTCTGATCCCAAAGGTCAGGAAATGCCTGCAGGAGAGATGCCGAGCCTTGGATGATCCAGCTGGCGAATGGCCGGCTGAGACACTGCTGAACTGCAACTGCTAACTCTGCGAAAGTTGTCTGTACGGCTGAATCAGAAGGAGGACAAAGGAAAAAGTTCTTGGTGTTGTCGCTGCCGGCGCCGCCCCTGTACAGGGCGTCCTGCAGTCACAGCAAGGCAGCACGCCGTCCTAGATTGATAGAAACAGTGAAGCACCCGTCAGCTTTGCCAAATCCGAACGGCAGGGGCTTCGTGCCGAAGCGTGAGGACAGTGCCTCCCGGACATGGGCCTGATGCCAAAGGCGAAATCCGGCGAAGGCTCCTGGTTTCGCTCTGCGTATCGAGGCTTCCTAGTGACCGCCGCAGGCCTTTCTCGCCAGGTGCGCCGAAAGCCAGAGGTCGTCGTGCAGCTGCCGAAACGCAAACAAGGAGCATTGCGCTGTCAGTCAGTAACCGTCTCGCAGCCCATCAAATGACATTGACATGAAGGTGGGCGGCTCCACGACACTGCCTGACAATGCTTCGAGAAGCCAGTGTAGTCAAAGACGCTTTCGTCGAAGAACTTGCGTCGAAAAAGCACGCCATGGACACCTTCCCCAAGTCTGCGTTGCTACATCTCTGGTCTGCAGCATGCAGCAAGATAAAGGATGTCTGCAAGAACTGCTAGAAGCACTACCTTTTCCGCTGTCTTCCAAAATGAGATGGCCACAACAATCGCCAATGCCAAGGCGATCGGGAGCTTGCCTTCCAAGACGACGCCGCTGAGGTGTAAGTGCGCATGCCTGAGAGCTCCGCGCTCACAGGAAAGAGATCGAAGCCAAGTGAGCCCAATTGCTGGTTTGATGAGCCCCAGGCTGCGTGGCAGCGCCTACAGCACGACCGGGTGCCGGTCCAGACACGTGGAGCAGCGTCTCCTCTGTGCAGAACGACTTTCTTGCGGTGCGTTGCAAGAACTTGCTTGCCGCTCCAGCAGATGCGGGCCGTAGCTTTGATCGTCGTCCACCTCGCCATGAGATGTTCGTGCGCGCACGTCAGAATTGGCCTCCAGCAGCATGGCCTGAAGAATAGCAGTCTCTGGATCTCGCTCGGCTTGGAGCACCTCCTGGGCAATCCCACATGGGTAGTCTAGTCGGGCACTCTCCGTCCAAAGCTAGATTTGCAGCTTGCGCCATTCTGTTACTTGTTTTGGTCAGTCGCATCTGCCTCAGCTTATATGACAGAGGCGAACATGGCCAGGAGCAAGATCTGTTCTTTCAACTGTGCTATAACATTAATTATATCTTGTTCTATCTCCGCTCAGAGCGTACTGCATCGTACTGCTGCGTGCAAGGTGCCATCATGTGAGTTGCTGGCCCCCAGTCCTTCAAGGCGGCAGCATGGCTCAGGAGCTTACAATACATGGCAGGAGAAAACCCTTAAGTTGTCTGAACAATGAACGGGCTGGACCTTCAACCTGAAAGTGTCCGCAGCATCCTGCAAAGAACTCTGGGTAGGTCCTCGCAGCGGATCAAGCGCAGACGCGGGTCGGCAAGCTTCGACACAAGCCACGAAGGCATCCTCGCAAGACGGAGTAACTGGAACACATCTTGTTGCGATCTTGAGATTTCCTTCAGTGACTGCTTTCAACCTTGCCCTTGAAAGTACAGGCCACCCCAGCACACACGCAACCAAACTTTCCACGGAAGTTGCGAAGCCAAGGAGCGTATAGGTAGTGTTCTCTCGCTTGAATACCTGAGATACAGAGTTGAAGGAGAGGAGATGTTTCCCCTGGAGGATCTCAGGTTCAAGGCAACTTACCAATAGTGTCAAAACAGTGCCTGCTTACACCCACAGCGCCCGCCTGCGGCACGAAAAGGTAGACCAAATCCAAGGGCCATGTTTGAGCTAGTAGGCTGTCCTGCCAAGCACCAGGAAGAACGTTTCTCATGTCTCTGCCTCCTGGCATCGAGCGGCTGTATTTGGGCCGGCATCTATCTTGGCTTCAAAGCATGCGTGCAGCGAGCGGTCCAAGGCTGGCTCGATTTGCGAGATGCGTCGCGGTGTTGTAGTTAGTGCAGCCACAACTCGAAGTCCGTGCCATGGCCTGAGCAAACCAGAATGCCTGTTACAAGAAAGGCTTCACGAGGCTGGAGGACCAGAATTATCGAAAGTAAAGTGTGCTTACATAAGTCGTACGTCCCACACTTCATCGTCTGATTTTCATGTCAACTGTATTCTGCTGTCAAGTGGCAGTCGCTCTCCTGCGGCAGCTTTCTCCTTCCATGAGTCGATCTCCTCAGATTTGCTACTCAGTGGCTCAAACGCATGCTCTTTCAATTCAATGTCATGGTGCCACATCGGTTGCTTTGGGACATGCGGTTGCCCGGGCAAGCCATCATCGCGAGTGTTTGCGATCCAGGCACTTGTGAGAGCTCTCTCTCGCGCGGATTCTCTTCTTCGGACACTCGGAAAATGTCCTGCCGGATGCAGTGAGAACTCCCTGCATGCGAGATCCTGCAGTGATCAACGTAGATGTTGGCAGCTGGCGCCAAGCACAACACCGACAACGAAGGAACCACAAAGCGGAACAACCACCATAGCATCAGGGGGGCAGTCGCTTGACCACGCCAAGATTTGTTTCAAAGTGCACACGCCAAGATTTGAGGGCTTGAATCTACATGAGACCCTGTCTGCGGTAGAAAGACAACCCGACCTCTTCCAGTGAGCCACATAGCGCGACGAGCCTGTCGCAGTCTGACACTGCATCTTTGTCTTGGCTTCTGCTCTTGGAAAGGATAGCTTGAACATCTTCCGAACCATCGACAGGCAGAAGAAACAAGTTGTGCAGCGCCGAGATGCCGCGTAAAGAGGAAGGCTAAGCTGGAAGCAGTTACGTTCTTTCGGGTAGGTCTAGGGAGCCCAGAGTGCAGTGGAGAGTTGAAACCTCCATCCCGTCTATGGCGCGCTGAATTCTGACATGAGCTCCGCAGTTTGCAAACTTGCAAAGCGACTGCGAATCCCGGCACTATCCAGAAGCACATTCGCATTCACCCACTTGGCAGCTTGACGACTGCATGATCTTCTCTCGTCAGGGATCGCAGGAGCCCATGACCGAATCCAGATTCTAGATGATTTCCGTACTCAGTCAGGCTGATGATCCCCCAGGCCCCGGCAGAAAGGATCAGGTTTAGAGCTCCGGGCAAGGAGGGGTTCGGCTATGGATAGCGTGGAGAGGATTGCTTGAGACGTCGCCGAGATGTCTGACGTCTTGCGTGACAACTTCGCGTGTGCCGTGACGAAGCGACTCGAGAGAGTGCGTTCAAGCGAAGTGGCACATACCAGTTACGAGGGGATTCTAGTCCACGTGCAGTCTGCCCCGGGCCTGCTGAAAAGCCAGAGCTGCAGCCACATCCGCCATGAAATGCGCAGTGGTTAACTGTCTACTCTCCTGGCAGGTTCTGGGATCGCTAGTTGCGCACCTGCTTCCTGCTACATTTCCAGCTTATGCTGCTGCTGTTGATATTGCTACGGTAGCAGTACGAGAAGTACTGGCAGCAGTAGCAGAAGTAGAAGTAGTAGAAGTACTGTAGTAGTAGTAGTAGTAGTAGTAGTAGCAGTTGCACACCAGAAGCAGCAGAGTAGCAGCAATTGTCGTTCCACGCTAATCTCGCAATATCCTGACGATCCGCTGCACTGCTCCAAAAGAAGCTACAAGGCACCGTGGAGGTGCAGCCGTCTGCTCACGACAATCCTGGCACTCAGAGCAGCACGCGGACCCAACCCACTAGGGTATCTATCTCCATCAACATTTTTCCTGCGACGCCTGTATCTCAGACCGTCAATCAATCATTGACGGCCAACAACTCGCTGGAGGAGCCAGCGACCTCGCTGAAGGAAGTCCTTGGTTCCCCCTGCGGGACCCCACTTTGAGGACACGCCAGGTAGCCAGCCACGCTAGCAACCAAAGACACTGCGCGAAAGGGATGCCCACTCCCACCGCCGCCCGCATCGAACCGATCCACACTGGACTCAGCAAGCCGCTCGTGACTCAGAGCAAAGATTCCGAAGCACAGGACGTCGGATACACTTCGAGAGGTTCAGACATATGACGGAAGCATTCCTTCGCTCGTGGAGTCACTCATTCGCATGCTGATCCAGTCAGGAACCTGCTCTCAAAGCGGAGCGATTGCAATGCAGAGTGCGCAGCCCTTGCAGTATTTGAACTTGAAAATTGAGAATCCGGTGACACTGGTGGCTTGATCAGTGAGAAACAGAGGCAACTGCAATGAAGAGCTCCGTTTGCAGAAGAGACGTGTATGTAATCTCTACTTCGAGCTATCGCGGCGACTTATACATCACATGAGCATACCTTTGCCGGACTGATAGTATCATTGTGCAGATGGTGCCTTTCAAGGCAGGCTTTGTCTGTGCGACGAGCCGTCGCACTGCATGAGACAACGTCAACGCCGAGCGCAGACTGGACTTCGCTTACCTTCAAGCGGATGTTTTCAAGACGGCAAGCTAGAAACTATCATGAAGCATGCATGTCAGAGCGAAAGATCATCGGAAGGAGCACATGGGCACACCGCAATCGGACCCGCCTACTGATCAAGAAGCCCTCAGGGGCATCCTGAGCAGGGGAATCAGGCTGCCATACCTTGCTGGCCCACCTGAATCCTGCATAAGTCCCCAGCGGAACCGACTGTCGGGCGCTGCGACGGTGAGCCCTGAGCGATTAGCACAAGCTTCATCGCAATCCCCATCACTTGCTCTCAAAGCAGACTTTGCTGCGCGCTGGCCTGCTTGGTGCCTGCGAGAACTGCCTTAATGTCAGGCAGGATCTCCGAGGGCGGAATCCTGAAGGTTCACAGCAGAAGAGGTCCCCACACTTCCTTGGCTCATATGATCGCGACAACGGTGAGGCTGGCACTTCGGGTTATAAAACTCGACGACGCGTCCCTCTTTGTCAATGAGGAACTTCGCCTTAGTGCCGAGAGGTCAAGCCACGTGAAGGCCTCAAGAGACATGATTGCGATGGCAAGCTGACATCTCACGAGTCCGGGGCAAAGTTCCATGGGATGGGGCGCATGCGTGATGATCCAAGTCGAGTACCTCCTGCATTGTACCTGCCACTGGGATTTAGAACGGCTATAAGCCTGTCGGCTTTCCTCCAACTTCACGCGTTAAGGCCTGGCAAGTGGTTAAATGACCAGAAGACATGGCTTGCAGACCGGACCTTGCCTGCAAAAGTGGAACACCGGATGAGTGTGGGGGCCGTTCACGTGCACCTTGGCTCTTCGGGCTCGCTTCATCCTGCTTCCCGGTTGGCATGTGATGCTGCGTGCACTATCCATGGCCTTCTCGAAAAGGGTGTAGTTTGCATCCGACAGCTTACCTTGCAAGCTCGGAACTGTGCTGATGCTGGGCATGGAGCCTTCAGGTGAATGCCTGCGACGAAGTTTGAAATCTGCTCCGGCGAACCCTGAGCAGCACAGGAAGACAGCTGCGCGCCCCCCCACAACCCCCCACGGTTCTGCCCTGCGCCTTCTCCTGCTTTCCAAACTGATTGCACGGGAAGGCCAGCCTGGATATCCGATCACAGCGCCACTTGCCAAGTACGGAGAGCACGGCGGTTCGACAATGTGTGCCGTATTCTCAGCCAAGATGCACTTCGAATGGCTCAGCTTTCAGCTCGGCACAAATCTCAGATAATTCAGCGTAGTTTTGCTTTGTCAAACCTGCCATCACGTGAAATCGGCCGATGGCTCAAGTGGTCTGGCCTCGTCCCTCACCCGCAAGACTGCCTAGCTTTCAAATGCTTTTATGTGCCTCATTGAGTTGCAACGTTGACCACCAAGGATACCTGCGCAGGTCTTATATTGCACGTGCAGACAGGTGATATGCAGATGCAATCCGTACTAGGACCTCCTGCAATTGCACGTTAGTGCGTGACGAGAAGGGATGACCCTGCGATGATGTCGGTGCAATCGACATGGGGCGACCTGGACTTCGCCCTTATCTAGCCGATGCAGCGGCTGGCAGTGGAAGCAGTTAATTCCTGCCAGAGACACCTGAGGTAATATGGACAAGAAGACAATACGAAAATTGCAAGAGAACGCATAGGCTAAACCAACGGACACAAGTGGCGTGCCTCGCTTCCCCCGATGTTTACTCAGATTTGTTTGTAGAGCCTAGTGTAATCTACCTGGCAGTAGGTGTTGATGCAAGCCTCACGAGAGGAAGCAAGGTCACTTCAGGACTGCATCGCCAGAAGCATGAGTATTTTGTCGCTCAGAAGGGGTATTCCCCATGGCCACCCTTACTGACACCTCACCTGTCTTACTCATACCTCTGCAAGTGCTTACCTATCGGGCTGATAGGTCCGGTTTTAGCTCGACTTGTGGATACTTCATCCTAGGTGTGTATGAACCTACTCAGTGTATTCACAATGTTAACACATGCATCTACGTATTATGTACATGTGTGAATGTGTGCCTGCATGTCTGCGCGTCTGTATGGACATGCACTGAAATCTTCATTATTCTCTGACTCTCTGCATGCTTTGGTCGTGCAGTGCAGATGTTGCATGTTGGGCTGAGTTGAATGTATAGCTCGCTCTCCCAACCAGCTGCTTGCTCCCCAACCGGTTTTGAATCAAGTATCTCAGTATCCATTCGAGCCCCAAGAAGCGAGAGATCTCCAGGAATGTGCTGGAACGACCTTCATTTCATTAGCGTTTCCAGGGACCGTTCCGTGCCTTGTTCTTGAACATTGCAAACTTCACGGTCTCGTTGGAGATCAGCCGGGCGTGCAAGTCGTGGAAGTTCTCTGTAGCAACCTCGGCGGGCGAAAACTCCACTCAAACCAAGCTCAGGAAGGAGGCAGCATGCAATCCTGCTGGAAACTCGGACGAGGGTGGATGAACACCTGTGCTCTCCCCAATTATCGGGCGCTGCTCTCCGGTCTTCCGGGAGCCGTGCAGTTGCTGTCTCACCGCCACCTGGCATGGCTAGAAAGGACCGTTGCGAGAGCCGGAAACAGTAGCCTTGCCACCAGCTGAGTACAGGCTAGCGAGTGGAGTCTGTACTGGACGTAGAGCAGGTCCCCTCGTCGCCTCCGCACAGCGAGGCCAGTGTCCGGCCGATCTGCTTCGTCGCCTGCTCACTAGCCGGATCGTTGCAGCAGAGACTTAGCCACCCTGCGGCTGATTCGCATCGTGCCTCCCAACCGTCCACCTCGGGCGCTGGAGGCATACCCTGAGAAAGGGCTTCAGATCCATCGAAGGCAGGACAAGATTCACTAGATCCAGTAGAATGTCACTGCGGCGTTCCAGTGTTCATTGACAGCCCAGCACCACAATTCCCAGCACCAAGACATCCAGCCTCGCATTCTTGACAAAGATGTGGTTCCAGGTCTGCCTCTCACTGCAGGCTCGCAGTTCTCTTTCAGAAATTTCAGCGCATCCCTGACCCCAAAACTTTTAAACTTAAAGAAACTCTCAGAGTAGCCCTTGCTTTATCGTAAGCCTTCCCCAAAAGGCCTCCAGACGCGAGCCGGGGCTTCTGCTCCGATTCTAATACTATCGAAAGCTCAGACAGGGCCGTTTTTGACATTTTCCGTCCACTGGTCCCCCTTAGGCAGGTAGTGTTTAAGATTGAGGGCTAGAATACGGCCAGGTTGATGTTTAGCGGGTACTCTTGCTGCTCAGACATGTGCCCACAATGCAGGCACGGAAGGGGGGTTGAGGCATTGAACGGCGAACAAGACAGACAAGTGAGCGGATTGAACAAGTAAACTTGTTTGCTCGTGAAACGAGCGTGTGTAGTTCCACAGAATATGTGCACAAGAAGCTGCTCAGCAACGCATGTGTACGCACATGGATACATACGTACATAGGTACCACGTACTGCATTCCTGCACACACGCACACACACGCGCGCGCGCATGTACGAGCTCGCGTGCCGACATACATGCTCAAATACGCAGTAGATGGGCATGTATGCATGTGTGCATGCATGCCAGCATCTGAAGCACTTGCAAAACAGTGCAGTCCACATGTACACATGCACATACACCCACCCACAAGTGTATCTGCTCTGAGGCTGTCTACAGTATCTCTGTTTTGAGACAACATGTACACATAAATGCACACACACACACTGTTTGTCAATATACTTACTACATGCTGGCGCATTCATGAATATTAAAGTACAAGTACATGTGTATATGTATATGATACACACAAAAGTCTGCACACAAACATAGATCTTAAGTCAATAGACATGATATGTAATTATGTAAACAGAGATAAACAGAGGCCTGGGGTCGGGTCGTGCTCTTCAGGCTCGCAGGTGTCTCTGCCATGGCTGCAGCGACAGCGCTCTGAGCGCTGAGAAAAATCTTTCCCTCGTGGCAAAAGCCTGCCGCGAGCATCCCGACCACACACAAACGTCCCAATCAATTTTCAAATGCTTGGTTGCTGCCCATGTTTGCACTTCGCAAGTAGCTCAAGGAACTTGCATGGATCTGAATCTGTTGTGGCAGATCTTTTCTCGAGCCGCAAGCCCCTCTCAGCATACTCTTTGGCTCAGAGGGCGTGAGGAATGTACTGTCCGGTCTTCTGGTTGTACCTGCACTCCGGCAACTTCAACATGCTTGACGGGACCTTTCGCCACTGCATTCAATCGCTGGCGCACAGGAAGATTTCCCGTCGTATGGAAGACTTCGTAAAGGTTTGCCGCAAACTGGCCAGGCGTTGCTGGTCAAGCCTCGGAGCTCTGGAGGAATGCAGATGTCCGGCAAGGACTTTCGGGCACACGAGACACATGCACCTTGCGGCAGCAAAAAAGGAACTAACATCCTCAAACTGACATGCTTGATCACATGGCGGTGCTGTCGTGTACAACGCGCTGGCATTGGCAAGAAAATGCAGGACTAAGGAGCCCCACCTGAAGTGCATCATGCACGGCCGCTTGAGGTTGGGGTTCAGCTCACCGTTTCTGTCGACGTACCTGCCAGAATCGAACATTTTCGGACCCAGTTTGACCAGACCCTGGCAGTCCTTCGAGTTCCGACAGAAGTGCCGCTGTGAAGTCGCATTCTGCTCTGCGAAACAGAGCCAGGCGCACGGGCAATCCCAAAGACAGCAATCTGGAGCACTGACTGCAAGAATCTGCGCCAAATACCTCGCGCAGCTGACATGGTGATCGGCTGGGGGTTGAATAAATCAATCCTGGCCGTGCCCCTTAGTGACCCCTCTGGACTTTGCGATCTGTACAGTATCATGAGTATCATGATCTGTCACAACAGGACTTGTCGTGAAAGCTCAACCGGCAGGGACTCATTCAAACGCAACACGAAGCCAGATTTCTTTGCGTGATCGAAGCGCGACCCGACGCCCGTCCGCACAGCTTCACGCTGGCAGCAGCGTTGGCAATCTCTTGCCATCATTTTTGGATCGTGCTTCGCGCGGCCAGTTCTCTCACTCTCGTGGGCAATCAAGGGAAACGAGCACACTTCGCTGATTGCAGGTGTCGCTGGTGTCGTTACTTCGCAGCTAGATGACCCGCAGCCGGACTCGTATCGGTTGCGTTCGCCTTGAACAGACTTCTCGTGGAAGCCGCATGTGCACGAAGATTTCCAAAGCTCTTGTATAGTGCTGTGCTTCGGGCCTGAAGTCTAAAGTCGTAACATGGAAGCGGCCGCTCTCTACGAGACCCTCTCTGCTTCTGAAGCGATGAGGATGTCTGAGGCCCCGGCGGAAGCAGAAACAGGCCCTGCCCGGAGGCACATCTCCGTGCGTGCTCTGTGCACTGGCCCTGAGCATGCGAATGCCGAGCTCTCAACTTTTCTCCGAAACTCCCTCTCTATTCTATCAGGCATCAAGGCTCCCGAACATCTAGCCCGCTGACCTTCTTGCGGACGTTTAGGGGGGGCTGTGGAACCGTGGGTGGGCGAGTTGACCATCTGCAGCCTCTTGTTTGGTTTGGACACATACGATTTCTGATCATCCCGCGCCCTGATCAGAAACACGCACGAATTGTCTGCGCAAGTCTGGATGTCTGTAAGATGCTTGACGGACCATTCCGACTTTAATCCAGCTGTGTTACAAAGGCGTGGTTATGGTCGACTGCATCCCCCCTGAATTTTGTGGAATCCACCGAGGCAGCGCCGTGCGCCTCTGTCTGGTTTCGCCCGCGACAGGCCTTGCTTCGCACACGAGGCTTGAAACAGCGACTGCGCTTCATGCCCCTGGGTGCCGTACGCGGCTGCCCAAACAAACGATCGCTCCGCCTCAGTGGGGTCACAAGCACTGCACCCTCCCGCCAGTTGGCACCCACGAAGAGATCCGAAGCAACAAAACACAACAAGTCCCACACACAGTGGCTGTAAACGACGAGCGTGACAGCGATTCCAAGGCTGAGCACACACTCAGCACGTCAGTAACGCCAGCCCCCCAGTCGAAGACCATGCTCAGGTTCCATATGGACTTAGGTAGCAGTGTACTTCTGACGTACTTTATTACTGCTTCCCAGACATTTAGAGTAGACCGCAAACCTGAAGTCAAGCGCATCCTACTAAGCTCCATGCACAGGAGACAGAGCGCAGGCTCGGCTGGAAGCTGCACAAAGGCATACACCGCTTGACGCTTGACAAAGAGGATCGGGGATTCGCAGAGAATGAAAGGGTGTAGGGTCCAAGGTAAAAGCTCCACCCAAACTTCCTCATGACCCGCTTGGGTGTGACCATTTACACGGTGCGTTGAACGTTGGAGGGTTTCGGAGTGTTTCAAGATGTACGGGGCTCGGGCTTGGGCTTTACGGGTCTCGGTGGTTCACCGGTTAAGGACTTAGGAATAGCTCCTGACATCTTTTGGGGCCCTTGGTCCTTGTGACAAACACGCGTTTGTTTCTCTCACTGCTTTAATTACTGCTGGAGCTGGCCGCACTTGCCACAAGGCACAGATGCTAGGAGCTACGGCACATCGTGTGCGCCTGCATGGAGCGGAATCACAGCACCTTTGCACCCATCCCGCCTTTCCGCAGGCAGTGCAGGGCCTCAGGATGCATGTACAAAGCAGCATGCAACCGCTTGCGCGGCTTGTCTCCACGACTTTCCGGAGCGCTCCCGCCCCCACAACCTTTTTCCTGGAAGGCATGGCTTCCGAAATGCACAGAATCGACAGCTTAGAGCATGACTTCATGCCTCGTCGAAGCTTCGTGATGCTTGCATCACTCTGAGGAGGTGCAAAGCCAGCTCCCATCGAGCTCCCTTTTGGCAGGAGCTGATAGCAGCTGAGAAGCTGAAACTATTTGGACGGATGCTTGCGTCTGACATGCTATCGAAGAGAAACAAGGCAATCTGCCACTGCCCACCCTTCTCGCAAGAACTTATGGCAGCACTGTAGGTGACAACGTCAGGTGCCACCTGCATCTTTGGCATGCGACCCAAGAGCCTGCATGCTAGTCGCCACTGGCCTGCCTTCTCTGTAGCACTCAACGTTGCATTGAAACTGATGATGTTTGGCGAGATCCGTCGCAGCGTCATGTCGGTGAGCAGCTGCAGGGCCAACTGCCACTGCGCGCCTTTCTCGCATGCACTGATGGTCGCACTGTAAGTGACGACGTTGGGCACAAGGCTTCGCCTTGGCACCATGCTAGCAATGGATATGGCGAATTCCCACTGGGCACCCTTCTCACAGCAGCTGATGGCAGAACTGCACGCGATGATGTCGGGGAGCACATGGGTCGGCATGATGCTGAAGAGCTGCAGAGCTTGTTGCCACTGCCCACTCCTCTCAAAGCAGCTCAGCACGGTGCCATAGCTAACTACATCTGGCTTGAGCCTCGTGCCGTGGGTCTGGTGGAAAAACTGCAAGGCCAAGGACCACTGGGCACTCAACTTACAGGTCTTCATAGCTGCCGTGTAGCTTATCACGTCTGGAAGCATCTGTCTTCGAAGCATCTGACATAGGAGCAGGGATGCCAGCTGCCACAGCCCCGACTCCTCACAACAGCTAATAAGGGAGTTAAAGGTTCTGACATTTGGCGCAGGCCCAGAGCCCCACATGGAGGCGAATATACTGAGAGCAGGCTGCCACAGCGAACTCCTCGACATGGATCTTATGGTGGCATTGTAACTAACAACATCAGGGGCCACTTGTGCTGCCGGCATGTCACAAAACAGTTGAAGAGCATGCTTCCAATGTTTGGTCATGCCCAAAGACGCGATCGTGGAGTTGTATGCGATCGATGTATCAGGGCTCTGAGATGACATGGCAGGCAGCAGTGTCAATAACTCCTGCCACCTTCTCCCACGGGCCAAGGCGCCTATATCACCATTGACATTTCGCACTGTCCGCGGCGTCCCAACTGGCGACGGCGGCACGTCAAGCTGGAAGCACCGTTTTTTCGCCTGCATGTCCTTGGTCCATAGTGCCGCATGTCTACGAGCACCATGCAATGGTGGGAGAATTCGTTGTGAAGTCGCCACTTCGCAGCCGGGCCACGGCAGGCCATGGCGCTGCATTTGCAGCAGACCGGTGACCGGAGGAGGCGTAATTAAACCCGCAAACCTGTTACGAAGTGCACTATTGAATACTGCACAGAAAAAGGACTGGATCCACGCCATGAATCTCTGCTTTGGCACTGAATGGATGCATGCATCGAGCCTGAGTGAGATCGGTGAGAGCCTGTGGTATTTCGGGTCCCTTCGGTTGCGCATGGCTGGTTCTTTGCCGTTTTGAGCACTTTCACTGAAACCCTCGCAGCTACTTCGACCAAATTGGGGCAACATATCGTGCAAAAGGACTTAATGACTGTGATGGATCAGAAATCTATGCAGCTTGCTCTGCTTCGAAGACCCGAGAACTGAGCGAAACGAGCCCGAAAACTGATGGCTTTGGTGGCCTTCCCTTCGACACGAGGATTCCGGCCCGTTTCTTCTCGCAGAGCTGAACATGTCTGCAGAAACACGGGAAATCGCACCTGAGGCTGGCCCTCGCAGATCACACAATGAAGCATGCAGGTCGGAGCGTGTCATGTCGTAGTGGGGGTTTCCGGCTCGCACTAAGCAGTCCAGTGTCCCGTTGTAGGCAACAGCATCCGGAGTTATCTTGGATTCCGTCATAATGTCGATCAAAGACGAAGCCATTTGCCATTGCTGCGCCTTCCTGCAGCCATGTATAATTATACTGTAGCTTACGACATCTGGCCGTGCTGAGACCGTGGCCATGTCATCCAGAAGCCGCAGTGCCAGTTGCCACTCACTGCTTCTGGTGCAAGCGCTCATGGTCGAGCTGTAGCTGACAACATTAGGAGTGATATGTACCACGGGCATGCCTTCGAGGAGAAGCATGGCTTGGAGCCACTGCTGCCCCTTGCCGCATGCACTTATAGCAGAGCTGTAGCTGATCACGTTCGGCGTGATCTCTTCCTTTTGCATGGAATCGAGCATGTGGATTGCAAGGGACCAGAGCGATCCCTTTTCACACGAGGAGATTGCCGCACTGTAGCTAACCACGTTATGGTCCGTTGATGAATCCCGGGCATCTTTTTTCAGTGCAAGTTTCCACTGTCCCCCCTTTTGGCATGCACTTATCACTGCGCTGCAGCTGATGAGATTGGGCGTGACGTTTTTGGCTGGCATGGAGCGTAGTAGGTCGACTGCGAGTAGCCACTGGCTGCCCTTCTCCAAGGCACTGATCGTAGCCCCGTAACTATGAATCGTTGGGTCCAACCTTCTGTCCGTCATGGCATGGACGAGCCACAAAGCCAGCTCCCAGAGTCCGTGCCCGCTGCAGCATCCGATTGCGGCATTGTAGCTGATGACGTCTGGCTGCATCCTAGACTTTGGCATGCCGACTGTCAGTAGGTGCAATCCCAGCTGCCAGTTGCCAGCGCAGGCAATAGCCGTGTTGTAGCTCACAAGACTAGGTGCAACTTGCTTGCTGAACATTTCTTCGAAAAGAAGAAGGCCGAGCTGCCACTCTGCCTTGCCACAGCCACTGATCGTAGCGTTGTAGTGCATGACGTCTGCTGCAACGGAGGCTTTTGGCATGGCCCTCAACAACGTCAGGCCATGCTCCCAGAGACGATCCCTCGCGCAGGCAGTGAGTCCCATGAACATCTGCCCGGCGCTGGGGCGAAGATGTGCAACCTCCAGCATCGTCTCAAGCAGGGAGCACATCAATTCTGGATGATTTTCGGATCGGAGTTCTTGCAAATACTGCGATGCTTTCTGCGGACACCGCAACTTATCGCGGTCCAGTAAACTCGGCAGTGGCTGTGAGCTACGTTGGCTCGTTGGTGCGAAATGCCTGTGACTGCCCAGCTTCGGACGACGCATGGGCTTGGCCAGGGGGCGCCGGAGTAGTGCACACAGCATCCCGCTCAATTCTAGGAGGGAGACCCGAAAAACCTTCAGGTGCATGGCCGAACAGAATAGCAATAAGGCAGGCAAAATGTTCGACGAGTTAACCTGATCCTTACAGTACAGGCACACTGGCAACATTGACAGTGTTGGACATGCTGGCCATAGCTGTTGAACACAAGAAACCGGAACAAAAGAGCACACCGATGATTCCTATGAGTGCCTCTTTTGCCCACGCAGGCCCAGGCGATCCTGTCTACTTAATTCCAACTCCAGCTGGCTCTTGCCATCTTTGGCTGTTGCGTTGTAATTCTGCATCATGGCAAGCAGGGACGCTTGCAATTCCGAGTTTTTCCAATCCTGCCTAAACTGTCCACCACGCTCGCACGAAGTAAGGGTGGCGTTGTATCCGACAGTGTCTGGCACGATCTTGCTGCTTAGCATAGCATCGAAAAGCTGAGAAGCTTGCTGCCATCTAGCGGCCTTCTCGCAACAGCTTATTGCCGCGCTATACGTGATGGCATTCGGAGAGATGCCGACGCTTGGCAAGCTTGCAAAAAGGTTGACAGCCACCTGCCATCGAGCTCCGCGTTCGCAACAAGCAATTATTGAGGTGTAGCTAATGACATCTGGGGATATCTGTACCAAGGGCATTTCGTCGAAGAGTTGCAATGCTAGGTGCCACTGATGTCCTTTCTCACAGGAACTCACCGCGGCATTGTAACTTACGACGTTATGCGCAATGTTGATTCTGGGCATGGAGTCAAAAATGTCCAAGGCAAGTTGCCAACGAGCTCCCCGTTCACAAGATGTGATCGTTGCACTGCAACTGATGACGTTTGGCAGCACAGCAGTTCTCTGCATTTTTGAAAAGAGATGCAGGGCAAGCTGCCATTCTCCGCCTTTCTCACAAGCACTGATCGCTGCGCTGTAGCTGATGACATTCGGACAGACTTTGCCTTGCGGCATGCTCTGCAAGAGCTGCAGAGCAGTCTCCCACTGCTCCCCCTTCTCACAAGCGCTGATCGTAGCACTGTAGCTGATCACATCTGCAGGAATGTCAGCCGAGACCATACCAGAGAAGAGAGACAGAGCCAATTGCCAGTGACCGGCCTTTTCACACGCACTGATCATGGCACTGTAGCTGATCACATCCGGCTGCATCTTTGCGAAAGGCATGGCAGCGAAAAGATCGAAAGCTAGCTGCCAGAGTCCGGCCTTCTCCAGAGAGCTAAGCATCGAATTATGGCTCACGACATCGGGCAAAATCTTCGCCGCTGGCATGGACTGATAGAGTTCAAAGGCTAATTGCCACTCGCCAGCCTTCTCGCAACAGCTGATGACTGCACCGTAGCTTTTCAGATCCGGCAGGATTTCCCTATCAGGCAAGGAATGAAAGAGCTGCAAGGCAGGCTGCCACTGTTCGCCTCGCCTGCAGGAATTGATGACCGCACTGTATGTGACCAGGTTGGGTTGGAGCCTGCCTTCGAGGAGAAGATCAAACAACGTCAGGGCTCTTTGCCATTCCCCAGACTTCTGACATCCGTTGATTGTAGCAGTGAAGCTGACGACGTTTGGCCGGACCTTCGCATTTGGCATGGAGCAGAGCAACCCTAGTGCATGCTTCCAATGTGTAGACCGAACTGCGGCGCTGATGCCGATGTTGAAGTGATGGCAGGTGAGCTCCACCAGCCAGTCGTCCTGGACAGCAGCCAGCAACGCGGAGATGAGGTCCGCTCTTCCTTCATGCTTGAGCTCGTTGAGGACAATGGTGATGGCATTCGGCGCACGTCTCCAGGAGGCAAGCTCTGGAAAAATCAGCTGCTGCACCTTCAAGTGCTCCAAGGGCCGTTTCAAGTCCAACAGATTTATCACCACTTCAGATCGCCGTGATCTGCTAGGACGCAGACAGTGTCGCGAAGTGCAGAGAAAGCGGCGCATTACGGCATTGCAGCTCCGAATTCAGGCAGCTGCTAAAGCCCAACCTAGACCCTGGACCTCAGTGTCGGACCCGGCAAACAGATAAACCACAAATATCCGAATGGCCACAGTACCACCAACTTACTGGACACCTCTACAAGGCTAGATTGCGAAAGCACCGCATGCATTCGCGACAGTCCTGTTTCTCTGTGCTGCAATCAGGGAATTCGAGTCCACGGCTTCTTGCGCACGTCCTTTCCAGCAATCAGTTGCATTCACTCGCCTTTCATCACAATGCTTTTGTTTTAGCATCAGAAATACTAGTGAAAGCGGAGCTTCTATATCACAGTGTGCGTTTGCTATGCTCCTCTCAAATGCTCTTCAATGACATCTGCGTCAGATCTGATGTTGTAGCTACCCGCAGAGTCTCCAAGCCAGTTGACTGGCGTCGACTCTACATCCTATCATATCTTCGCACTGCCGCAGGCGCTCTTCCGTCCTTGATGACGTCCAGATACGCATCCGGCAGGTCAATAAATGGAAACTCGGTGATTTCATCGAGCGCGCTGAGACGGCAGCCTTCCTGATCGCAGAGCTGGTTGGTAGCATGCAGGGCACGGGCACGACGAGAATTCAGTTTACCGTTCCAGTCAGTGAAGGTGCAGATGTTTTCGTTCTTTGGTACCGCAACTGCCTTCAACGACTCTGGCACTTCTGGCAGTTCTCCCATCGGGACCTGGCATGCGGTTCGAAGGTAGCACACGGTGGCCGCATGTGCACGGTGACAGCGTCCAGTCGTGTTATCGCATATGGCTTGATCTGATGACTCTGGGCGCACCATGCGAATGTCAAACGAAGTCGCAAGGCCCGGCAGCCTCGAGCACAATGCAGGAAAAAGCTCACCCTGTACAAGCAAGAAGTGGTGGAGACGAGGAGAGACTATGAACGTCAGGCTGCAGGTGCTGAAAGTCGAGGGTTCAGCAGCTTAGCAGCAGCAATGCATACTAGGACAGTCCTCAACAGGCCAGTGGCTCAGCACTTCCTTGTCAAGATGTCGCATCATGCTATCCGACTTGCTGGCCCAGAGGGCACAGAGGCCCAAATGATTGACGACATCCTTTACATGATGGAACGCTCGGCATCAGCGAGAAACTCTCTGGCGCTTCCAAGACAGTGCCGGATGAGTATGCTGCTTCCCTATAAGATAAGAATAGAAAAAACATGCAGACTTCGGCCATATCTCCAAGGGCCTCAGCATCGTTGCCAACACAGCAACGGACCCGGGCTTCTCGCTTTGTAGGTAAGCAAGCCTGCAGGTGAGTTGTGCAAAGGGAGTCCGAACCTACGGTCTTCCTCGCTATCTGCCTTTGGAGTCTCGCGGGCTTTCGACGGATGCTGACATAGTGACGGGCCACAAGAGCTTTACAATGGATGCTGGAAGTTGCAGGAGCCTTCGGATTGCTTCAAGTGCTCCAACAGCCCTGGGATTAAGTTGCAGACAGCTTGACGGTGGATGCCGTAGCCATGCAAACACATCTGGCAAGTAAGGTAGCTTATCTGCTAGCAGTCTTGAGAGCTGGGGTCCTCCCAGGTGGCATAGACTAAAATCGATGGAGCTCTACTTGGGAACCCATCGATTCATAAACAGCTCATGCATGCTGCGGAGCCCCCGTGTGAGATGAAAGCGCACCCGAAATGCATGGACCTGTTCCTCTCTTGGGCTGGTAGGCGCCATATTGCGGCACAAATCCACCTGAGACGACTTCTCAGACACAATGGCTTGGGGCAATCGCACATGTGCATTAGCTCTGGGCACAGGGCGCGGCGAAGATGAGGAACTCCAACACGGCTTTCGGTGGCGGACTTCCCTGCGAACATGTGGATTCTTTCTGCTCACTTCTTGCTCGAGCTCTTGTGGGACCGAATGCTCGCGCAAGATCGTCATTGTCAGAACAAGATATCAGGCACAGTGGCACCAAGCCCGTGGTGTTCTGATGAGGCCAGGTCCTCCTCTTGGTTGGGATCCAGTCCTCTGCACTCTCACACGCGTGAAGGTCAGGCAAAGTTCCCAGTGAAAACAGCTTCGCGTGCATCAGATCGTTGGCAAGAACGAACCGTTTCGAATCCCTCGTGGGTTCCAACCAAGAGTGTCTCCTGCTTTTGACGCGGCGTCTTGCCGCACACAGACCTGCATAGTGCAATCTGGGCTTGTCTCGAAACAGGCCCTGCGCGCTCAACACGACGAGCTTTGCCTTCATCAGCAGCACCACCAACTCTGCAAAAGCGCTTTGCGAGAGTCCGTCCTGGAGCAATAGGATTTTGAATCACAGGATTTTGCAACACTAGCTCTGGGATGTGCTGCGCACCTCATCACCAAGCTTTGTGGTGACGAGATCTGCCAAAGCCGCCTGATTTCGAAGAGCAAAGCACCAATTCGATTAGGTTCGACTGCGCCGCTACAAGCTTTTACAACGCCGTCCACGATCTCTGTTAAGTAGTGTTGAATGCGATCTTCTCGTATGCAATAGTATACTATACTAGACTGCACTGTAGCATACACTGGGTCGGGAAGTGACCATCTCTCCCGTCGTTTGTTCTGCTACGCCAGCCCCTTGGGGGATTCTCGCAGTCCACCATCAGGAACACAAGGTCCGGAAAGAAACTCCGCCCCACCACGGGGAAGTTTACTGAGGATGGAAACACTCGCAAAACACTTAGAGGAAGAGTCACTGTCGAACCTGCCCTTCCGTCCTCGAACATTCCATGGTGTGGCTCCGGCTCTTTTTTGTTTCTCCCTTCAATCGCCATCCAAGCTGACCAAGTTGAAGCTGGCCACCTGAGCGCACGGGCATACTGCAGATTATGGGCGTGGGAGCTGTGCAATCACCACTCCAGTTGCCCAACGCTACAACCCATGCAAGCACAGAGAAAAGTCGCCACCTTGCGACTGTCAGACAGTGAGAAGCTTTTTGTCGGCTCGCTATTCAAGCTTGGGTACATATGTATGGCGTATTCCCGAAATCACCGGACGACCGGCGTGAGTGATGTGGCCTTTGTCAACAGGTGGGCAAGGTGTGTTGGCAGAAAGCACTTTCGCTGGGTGAGTTCATGACGAACCTGGCAATGAAAGCGCTGCAGTAGCGATGCCATAGAATATCAGACGGGGTATGCATTCGGGGGATGCATTGGTAAAGGTGCACATCTGTTGCTTCAGCGATGCTCTTGCCGAGCAGCCGTTGAAAAGGATCGCAGTGCCCTGCCTTGGCCGCAGAACTGCTGCATGGCCTTGGGTTTTGTCGGGTTTCAGAAACGTCTGCTCCGAACCATCGCTTGAGGCGACAGGCTCTCTCGCAGTCCCACGCCAGCAAATTCGTTCCGAGGTGCACATGTCGAACTTCTCGCTGCCCGTCTGAAACGAAGGCCGGAAATGCAATGCATATCAGGCATTTCAATCTTCGAACTGGGCCGACGCCCCGCCTCGACTTCGCCTGCTTTCTGGCCGTCAGCCTGCGAGCGACGATGTTCAAAGAGCTCCACTGGTCAGCAGGGCATTGAACAATGCAAGATTTGGTGGAATGAACTGAGAAAAGCCGCCACAGCAGCATACATGCTGCATCGGAATAAGGTGTTCAGGCGGGGGTTACTCTCACCTCCATTACAGCAAGGAATTCATGCTTGCTGCACTCGTGATTGCAAGTGCATAAGCTGAAAAGCAACATGGAGAAGGCTCACACGAGGGGAAACTAAGAACCCACCTGGGGCCAGAAGGCCGTGCCACCGCCTTTGAAGGCGCCGGGCTCTGAGAGCACCACGTTCAGCGTCATCGCCTCCTCAAGTTGGACTCTCAATGTGCAAGTAACTATGCCATCGCGCGCCACATCTCGACAAGGACAAGCAACTCTATCGATGTGGGGTGCGATACCACCGCCGGTCATGTACCTCAGTCGTATTTCAAGCCAGGAATCCACGCAAAGCTTAAAGAGTTCAAGGTGCCGGTTCACTGCCGGCTCGCCAGGCGAGAAGAAGGGCTGGAGCTCCTGTTCCCCACTGTTCGACGGACAACGGAGCCGTGTCTCGCGGGAATGGAGCCAAGGTCCCAGCACAAAGCCGCTCGCTGCGACCAAAGAGCTCGTCTACAACATCAGGCAGCCTAAAACACATTGGGAGCATACATTAGGCTCCACACATGATCCATGATACTCTTCAGCACTTGCGAGGCTTTTCGGGATTGGGGACGGGCTCAAGAGGTTTGACGGTCTGCGAGGTAGCACGAGACTTGCTGAAAGCTTTCTTGCGGTGCTCCCTCGCAGAATCATGGTACATTGAACCTGTCGACGAGGCACTCTCGCTCCAGAAGAGGAACCAATCCTGAATCTGGTACTTTCGCTGGTGAATCAAATTCTGGGCGAGGGCATCTGCGAGGCCGGGTTTAGGGTCGGGAATGAAAAAGCATGAATGCACGTGGCGCGGTCGTGAATGCTTGCCCGACAGCGCGTGCCCCACAATCTCATTGCTGCCGAAAGTCTTTCTTTGAAGACAGAACCTGATGTAAGAACTCGACTCGCGACAAAACGATGCAACATGAGCGAGACACTGAAAAACGACAGCCTCAAAACGGACCGGGCAGCTGGACAGCATTTGAGCTTCTAGATCCAGCTTTCGCACTGGATATCCTTGGGTGGCCAAGACAGGCACGGCAACTACTCCCGACTGCTGGCAAGGATATCTTGCCAGAAAGTCAGATGCAGCTGGTACGGGGACTCCGCTAGCTTGGGTCAAGTATATCACGAAAGCTGCAGAAAGTACTGGCCTATCGTAACCTCGCGGATGTTTGCTCAACGGAGCTATTTTTCCGGTGGATGGTGGTAGATGAGTGGTTGAAGCTGAAGAGAAGCTACTCCATTGAGTAAAAAGCTTCTTCTCCGTCTTCAAGTCTCGGTCATTAAAGAGAGGATACCAACTCCTCTTCAGAGGGGACTGACGACCACAAGATGATCTCGACGATCTCCTCTTCGCCCTGCATTTCGGAGTCTTCCCCTCCTTTGGGTGACACAGCATCGTGCAAGGTCTGCAAAGCTATTTCAGCCGCTGCATCCGCTTTCTCTGCGGCAGCAATAGGCTTTCTGATCACTCGTCTGCATGCTGTCGCCAATTGAATGTAGCAGGGGCAATTCACCAGAAGTACCCCAAAGAGGCCACCTGACCGTCAACATCAAAGCGGTCAGATCAAAGACAAGTTCGTTGCAGCTTGCATGCCAGCCTACTAGAAATGGGAGGGCCAAGCTGACCGCAATGGTCAGAAAGGCAAGACAGGCAGTGCCCGACAGCGTCATGCCTCATCGCGTGGATTGGGCCGTCGCTCTGAGGTCCGCAGTTGTTGGTAGTGTGTCGACTCCAGGACTGAAGCTTACACACCAACGAAGCTGACCTTTTCATGCATATCAAGCAGCTGTGGTTCTTGTGGCAGATGTCTTTGATCGCCGTCGATATCAGGAAGGTAAAGATGGAGAACGAAATAAGACTTGCCTTCACGGAACAGTTCGTCTAAAAGATAACGTAACAAAACCAAAGCCACAGATCTATGCCATGAAGCTACACTTAGGGAGAGGATGGCCAAGCGGTGGTCCCCCTCCGCGTAGCTCAGCAGGAATCCCACCCAGAAGGGGTCATTGTCGTAGCCATTCCACTGCAACATGCCAAGGGGGCGCTGGCTGACTGTTCTCACAATTCAACTGGCTGCATCTGTCACTACAGTACTTGTCTACAGCTGTTTTCCTGTTTGTTCTTGGCAGTTCGTGGCCATGCTTGTACGAGTAGAGCCTCGTGTGGGCCTTCAGAATCGTTTAGTTTTCCAGGAGTTGAGCCACGCGAGTTGGGGAAGAGTTTGGCGAGAAACGACGGGAACACTTCTCATGCCTGCGTGCAACACCAGCATCCGCCCAGAGATGTGCTGGTTACGCTGACATCAAGTCCTTTTATTTCCCCTGCAAAGCGGTCTTGAAGTGCGTGCCCAGACGGTCTGAGGCCTTCATGCTGTTTGAATTCGGTCGAACTGGGAGCACAACAGGAGAGGTGTGCATTAGGTGCTGAGCCGAGTCAGCAAGCTGATACTTGTGGAGAGCAAGGCATCCGACATGCGTAGGAGGAGTCCTGGTTGGTGACACCGTTCGAAGGAGACCATCCACTCACAATAGCTGACAGCATTGGGCCTGAGCAGAGCTTGCGACATGATGTCCAAAAACTGCAATGCCAGTTGCCAGTGCCCCTTCTTCTCGAGTGAGATGATGCATGCATTGCAGCTCACCACATCAGCCGGGACTCTTCTTCCGGACATTGTCTGAAATAGGTCGAGAGCTATCTCCCACTGCCCACACTTTTCGCAGGCACCGATACAACTGTTGCAGGTGACCACATCAGGTGCAATGTCAGATCGCAGCATTGAGGCCAGAAGAAGCAGTGACTGCTGCCACTGAAAGCCCCTCTCCAACGAACAGAGGCAAGAGTTACAGCTGATTAGATTCGGCCTGACAGCCGCAGAGGTCATCGCTTCCAACAGGTGGAGAGCCAGTTGCCACTTCCCTGCTACGTCGCAGGCGCTCATGCAAGCATTGTAAACAATTGTGTCTGGCTGTGTGCCAGCATCGAGCATGACTCTGAGGAGGCTTAGCGCCTTCTGCCACTCGTTCGCCTTTGCACAGCAACTGATGCAGGCACTGAAGCTTATCAAATTGGGTCTGACGAAAGCCACGTCCATGCAGTGAAGCAGCTGCAGGGCAAACTGCCACCGTCCAGCTTCTTCGAAGCAGCTAATGCAAGAGCTGTATGCGAGCACCCCCGCGGGTATGTCCACTGTACCCATCACGTGCAAGAAGTGTAAGGCCATCTGCCAATTGCCACCGCTTTGCAAAGTACTGATGCAGGCGTTGTAGCTGGCATCTGTTGGCCTGATTCGACCTCCTGTCGCAGTCTTAAACAGCTGCAATGCCGTTTGCCACTGCGAGGAACACGAGCTGATGCAGGAAACGCACGAATTGATGCTCACAGCGTTCAGTTTAACCCCAAGCTTATGCATGTCTTCTAGCAGCTGCAAGGCAGATGGCCATCCCTGGCGCTCTGAACAGCCACTTACCGAACTGCAAGTCACGACTGAGGGGAGGATCCGGGCAACACACATGCTGGAAAGAAGCTGCCCTGGCAAGTGCCACAGATTGGCACGGCCAGGAAAGTTCATGCACGAATTCAAACTAATGATATCAGGTGACATGCTGCTCTGCTGCATCACCTGAAGCAACTGCACTGACACCTGCCACTCGAAGTCTTCAGCACAAGCACGGATACATGCGTTGTAGGTGATGAGGTCTTTGGTAATCCGATTGCTGGACATCCACCTGAAGAGCTCCAAAGCCGAATGCCATTGATCCGCACAGCCCATTCCTGTATTGCAACTGACAGTGTTCACTGGGACCTCTTCCACCGGCATGGAAGTCAGCAGTGACAGGCCAGTCTGCCACCATGTGGCCAAACTGCATGCGCTTATGGCAACATCGAAATGATGAGGAATCGGCACGCCAGCTTTCCTTACCTCGGCGAGTGTGCAAAGCACCAAGTCTGCCCGATTCTCCGATTTCAGCTCTCGAAGAAAACGTGCAATTGCCCCAGGCTTTGTCAGCAAGGCCTTCCTCACGTTCGCCTGACTCGCCTGAGCCTGGGCCTGAGACGGCTCCCGGCCTCGGCCGAGCTGAAGACATCTCGTCACGTCGAAGGGCATTCATTCTGAAATTCCATCAGCGAGTCGGGGGAGTTGCCGGGCCGACTTGAAAGCATGAACGGCATTGAACATATCACTGTGAATGTGCGCGGCTTCAACAAGCAAGGAAGGCCAAATGGCCTCTGCACTAGCATTTTGAGCAAGATTTACTTCGATTGCAGAAACTCCAAGTTGCAGCCAGGAATCGGTTCATGTTGCCCTGGTACGCATAAAAGTTTCCAGCTCTGGTGCCTACAGCAGCAGCCCGGTCAGCGGCATCCATGAGGACGTGACACTCCTTGATGCTCAGAGCTCGGCTGTGCTGGGCATTAGCTTGCTGCCTTTACAGGGCTGCTTTTCTGAGCCGCCAAGAAATAGGAAAAAATTATCTCCTCCTCCATTTAGGAACCGACTCACTCAGCATGTAGCTGGCCGGCTGATTTCGGTAGACACGGGCAAGAACATATGAGTTTGTTTTCATGAGCCTGCAGTGTTTCTCTGCAGTAACTGGCTTGCCACTGAGACACCTCCCGTGTCAAGAAGTCAGGAATAATCCTGAGCCCAGGGGGTTCCCACAAATCAGTCGATAGGACCGAGCTTAGAAAGGCAGGTAGGAGGCAGCTGTGCAAGATGTACCTGGTTGCAGTACCCACGGTGGCTGCTGGTGACTGCTGGACACTGGTGGGGTTCTGGTCACCGACATTTGCAACGGCTTGCTTCCAAGGCGCACAACACCTTAGCTGTTGCTCGCAGCAGTTTGCCACTTCACGCTGATATACTTAGATTCTCGTGCTCTGCATCTTGAACTACTGCACCCACACGCATTCCTGCTGAAGTGCACGCGAAAAGAAACAAGAAAACTTCCCTGCTTGTGTCGCCGGTCCTTCCAGTCCCAGGGGCTATTCCACAGAAAGCGCCGGCTGCTGGGCGAGAGCCGCAGCTCCACCACGTGCTGCAGCGCCTGACACTGAAACTCGCAGAGACCCATGGATGGTCAGGAATTTTGGCCAGCGTCTGATCGTCCTAGTCCCCGACCTCACATCGGAGAGCAGGGGCGAAGCATGCATCGCACCTTTCTGCCGGCATGTGGTCTTACAAGTTGCAGGTGCTGGATAAGAGCTCATCACAAGCATATTCCGAAGAGTACTCCGAAGGAAACCGCTCTTCTTGCCGAGTCGGGTGCGTTTCTTGAAACGCCACGATGGCATGCTGCAGGTCTGGCGTCGAACTGGCAGGTTCGTCGCATTCAGTGCAGGGCAATGGCAGGAAGCCGTGATCTTGCCCGCTGAGAGTGTTTAGCCTTTCGCCTCAACAGGCAGTCTGCACTGCCACCGAATCGACTAGCTCTGTGCCTGAAGCGTTGGCACTCCGTGCAGCTGTCGAGCTCCAACATCGACGAGTCAACGGCATAGAACACGACGTCGCCTTGGTATCTCAGGTTGAAGATCCCACTCTCGCACAAGTCGACAGTCGACGACAGCCGCAACCGGGAACAAAAAGCTTCGCAGATTCGCAGGTGTGGATATGACTGCCAAGATTTGACTGTTGCATACTGTTGCGGTTCACGGAACAGCACAACAGACGAGACGTCAAAAACTGTGGGCGTTTGTCTGGTTTGAACTCGCTTTCTTCATTCATCCGCAGTCAACATCGCCGTCCCCGAAGAAACTGGGCACCAGCGCAACAAAAAGAGTCGACCGTCCTGGCCCTGAGATTCTTCTGCTACCCGGAGGCTCTGATTCTGCTCGTCTGGGCCTGCTGGCAAACTGGAAAAGATTCGCAGATGGCCGTGGCATGTGGTAAGCTACTGTAAGATGACAATGCAGACTCGCAGAAAAGCACGCAGGCATATCTATCTATCTATTATCTATCTA